GACCGCAACAGCCTGGCGCTGCGCTTGCACTACCTGGCCCGTGCCAAGCCCATGGAGGACGAGCGCACCATCAAGGCCCAGCACGTGGCACCTGGAACGTGGCCCCTTGGACACGTGGGGAAAGCCGAAGTGGGTTGCACCAAAACATCTCCACTGGGCGCCTGAAATATGGTTGATTGGGGGAGGGGGGAAAAAGACGATTTCTGGCGATCTTCATTTGGTTTCATTCCCTCTTTTTGGGTAAGACAGGACAAATGGAATTGGGGACCCCACTTTTCCATGGAAGGGGGGGATACCAAAAACCCCAGAGGCCTGGAGGATTTTTAGGGATTGTCCTTCTTACGCCCTGAGGAAACTATACCTGAATCATCCAAACAAAAACCAACACAACCAGGTTTTAGCTGGCAATAGGCCAGGTCTCAAGGATTCGCAAGGGAAAAGCCGGCTTTTTCGAGGAGCCTTTGGATTTTGATGTTGAGAGTTGCCCCTGGCTCTATGTTGACGGGCCCGGGTGTAGCAGATGACAAACGTACGTGGGTGTGTCTTTGTTTGAGTTGGTGCCCCCTTTTCTTTGTGGCTTGGAGGGGAAACCAACCGGAAACATCGCTGAGCCATTTTGTGGGTCCAACCTTTGAACAGACAAGCCCTTGTTTGATTTGTTGCCTTGGTTTCCAGTCAAAAGCCGCGCCTCTCAAAAAAAAAGGGAGAGACCCTTTTTGATGACAAGCGGTTGCGCCATGAGAGAGATGACCAAACCTCAAGGGCACGTTTGCGAGCGGCGCTCCTCGGGGCCGTTTCGCAGAAGGAAAAGGAAGCCACCCAGTTTGGAGGTTCCATTCAGACAAACAAACAAGCAGGGATGCAGGGGAAGCATGGATGTGGGCATAGGTTTCAGGTAATATTTAGACATGGTTTCCTTTACACAGTCCTCGCACATCCCCGCTTCCCCAGTATCCCAGGATAATTCGTTTTCCCAATGCATTGGAAAACAAGCCCATGGTACTAAATATGTCTTTTGCCCTATGGGGACCCAACATGGCGGGTCTTCCTTTTGGCTTTTGTTTAAACCCACAAGAAATAGATACCCTCATTATCCATCATTATCATTATCCCGCATTAAAAAGACAAATCGTTGACCCACAACCCATCATAGGTTGGACAATCCAGTGTTTTGTTGGTCCCTATCTGGGAGTGGTTTAGAGTGGGTGCTGTTGGTGGTTCTTGAACGTCCATGATTTAGGCGTGGGTGTGTCTGAAAATGAGGAACCCATTTCCAAACTGGCTGCATTCCATTTGGTCTCCCTTTCAATCCTCTCCAAAAGCAAGAAGCTCTCTTTTTTTTGCTTCCCTGTAAAACCACTCCAAAAGCTCTCGGATTTCCTTGGTTTGTTGGTGCTCCTTTAAACCCACTCGCTCAAACAAGAACACAGACACACAGCCATGGTCTAGCACAGGTCCCAGAAAGCCATAACCCAGAAAGAAATGTTTGACTCGTATCAGGTTTGGAGTCGACTCCGCCCGTTGTCTCGCTTAGGTACTACAAGGTGCCCCAGAATGCGGAGAACAAGGCGGGTGCTGGTTTGTCGCGAGTGTGGGCTCGACTCAGGGTTTCCTCCATGTCCCTTTTTGTAACCTGCAAAAGTGGCGATCGTTTCAAGGGAACCCGCCAGGAAATCCAGCGACCACTGTCAATGGCTTCCAAAGACTTGGGCGAATCGACCAGATCTGATCTGACCGGATCTGGTCTTCCGTTTTTCGGGGTTGTTAGTCATGACCCCAAAAGGTGATCGCCTTTTATTTTGGGATCCCTGAAACGCAACTGAGATGGTGGCGTGGAGAGGGTCGAACGGTTTCAAAGACTCATAGGAAAATAGCTCACTTCTCCAGTTGTCGGGCCTTAGTCGCTTCTTGGCAACACCATGTTTTACACAGCGCCCTGCAAGCTAGCATGGAAAAAACTCACGCGTATGTTGTTGGGTCTCTTCGGGACGCCCTCTTCATTTTGATCGTGCCAGGACTGGCTGAGGCTTCGCACCAACGCCCGGGAGATGGTCTACGGCCTGGAGGACGACGACGCCTTCATGAACAACGTGCCGCTCAGGACGGTGGCTCCGAGGGGCGCCCCTTGGGGGCGCAGCCGGCATGTAAGTCTGGTGGGATGGACAAAACCCGTTGGTACCCACTTTAGAAACATCGGGAAACCATGGGTTTGTGGGTATTTACAGGGGAAGTCATCATTCCAGGGAATCTTAGGTGCAGGAGTTCGTCCATCCACAGTAGGGTGAGACATGGGTGAGTTGGTTTAGGGGGGACTCTACCCCTGTTTCAGGATTTCGGCACATCCTCGGCATTCCTTGGCTTTTTTAGCCTTTTGGTGTTTAGTGGTAGTTTCCATTTAACCCACTAACAGTTAAACTTTTAGCGGAGGATCTGAGGGCAGCCCAGATTACCCATTGTGTTCAACTGAGACGCAGCCACCGTTCTAATTCTAATTCTGTTGACCCCCTGGTTTTTACATACATCGACATGTATCCTCCCACCAGACAACGAAAAACCTGACAGGGTGTGGGGTCCTGGGTTTGGACCACTGTCCATTTAAAGGGCCCGGGTCCCGAACGCCGGGTTCCATGTGGGAGGGCACAGATATGTTCGTTCATTCCAAGTTGGCGGTTTTACTTTTGCTCCCTTTTAAAGCCAACCAACCAAAGGTACCAACCCCTCGTTCACAGGGCACAGTCCTAAGTCATAAGTCATGATTCGGAGCTTCTCCCCGCGCGGGGTGGGGTGGTGAATCACCGTCTCCCGAGCCCATCGTCTGACTCCCTGAGTTCCGTTTCGGACCTTCGTCGGTTTTGCCTAAGGAAGACCGGGTCTTTTACAGGGCTCAGTGAATTTCCCCTTAATTAAGGAGGTTAAAGCTTACTGGTGGCTCCATGGGAACGATCTCAACTTTTGGAGTATTTTTTGGATTTTTTCCAAAATGGGAAACAGAACCTCTGTGTCCACTCAATCGGATTCGGCTAGGACCAGCCGCGGTAAGGCGGGTGGCCTGAACTTTGCAGAGAACTACCTGTGCCTCTACGCGGACAAACCGGAGAACATGTACAACGATGAGCGGGACAACTACCCTTGCCTCTACAGCATTTGCGATGCCCGGCATCAGTTCCAGACTGATTTCTTCCACTCCACCATCCCGTACTTCTTTGATGAAGAAATGGAGCTGAACCCTTACGTGGGTTTCACACAGTGCCCGCAGTTTTTCCACGAGATGCAGGACAAGTTGGACTACTTGGACAACAACAACGCCCAATTCTTCCGCTTGAATTGCATGATTCGAAACTGCTGTGGCGGTGTCAGCTCCTGCGGGACAAACGGCACCTGGATGATCAGGCACCCTCCAGGTGACTTGGTCTGGGAGAAGGAGCGCCGGCGCGTGCGGGATGCGGACAGCAAGCGCAAGAGTCAGGAGTACGTGGAGCGAAGGACCTTCCACGAGAGTTGCAAGGTGGAGGACACGGCGAGCAGTCTTCAGCAGGTGCTCCGAGGCCGTCGGTCTCAGTTCATCAACCGCCGCTTGTCCTTTGGAATGGCCAAGAACCCAGTGGACTACCTGGCTGCCGTGCAGCGATGGGCTGAGGGAGGTGTGGTGCTGTCTATGCAGACCTTCTTCAGCTGCCACAAGGGTGTCTACATGGCTTCTGGGTCAACATTTGGCAATATACCTTAAATGTGTTGTCCCTGAACAAAAGAGGATCAAAAAAAAACAAAAACTATGAGATTCCAAGGTTCAAGGTTGAGCTTTGGACCAAGGTTTGGTTCACCTTGATCTTCTTCTTTTGCTTCTTGGCCTCCCTCTACCACATGATCAACAAGACGGACGCAACTTGGGACTCTCAGCCCAAATCGGCGAACATTGTTGTCCGGCCTTCTGGCTTTCCGATTTCGGCGCTTGTCTTGGTTAGTTCTGGTGGGTGTTTGGCTCCAAAACGGAATCGGCCCACAATGGAACCCTGGTAAATGGAGAAGTCGGCTAACACCTGGGCTCTGGCGAAGTGAAATTTGAGCCACATCCTTCTAGGGAAACCCCCAAAATGCCAACGGGTAAGACAAGAGATCCAGTGCAGAGATTGCAACTTTACGCGGGCCACAGCACATGACTATACTTATCCCGTTTCTCACTTGGGTCCCTTTCGCAGCAATTGGTTCCCCCAAAAGGTGATCAGCTAAAAGACAGTCTGGGTCCCTCCTCCCTCAATCTCTCTCCCTCCCTCCCTCCCTCCCTCCCTCCCTCCCTCCCTCCCGCAAGTCGCAAGCGGGGCAACTGAGGACTTGGTGAAGTGGGGCATCGTGCCGGAGAGCTGGTACAGCTCCTTGACTGCTATTGGGTTGGATCTTTAGACTAACTTTTTGGTTGAAATCAATCAAGGGGTTTTCCACTAAACCCCCACAAAAAGTGACACTCACTTTTTGCGGAGGGGTCCTTACAGCAACCAAGAACATAGGTGCCACTTTTTTGTTTACCCCAAGGTAGACTTAAACCCAGAAATTATCCTTTTGGAGGAAATGAACGGAGGGGTCAACAGCAACACAGGCGCCATCATGGACCCCTTCGTGGATTGGCTGAAAAGCCTGGCCTTGATCGCCAACTCCGAGCATTTCAAGCAGCACCCCGAGCTCCTGGAGACGTATGTCACATGACCAGTGGAGTGGGGGAAAGGGATCCTCACCGGGCCCCTTAAATAGGGGGGAGGGGGGATTTCGACTGGAGATCTCCATTTATGGTTCCATTTCCTTTGGGGGAAGACTAGAGAACTGGAATTGGGGGCCCCACACCCCCCTCCCCTTATGGTAGGGGAGATGGAAAGGGTACTCTTTTTGCAGTATATAGTTGATTGAAAGGCCCGGTGCTTCCGGTCGTTTCGATACAAGTAGGTAGCCTTTCCCTCTCAAAGTGTGTACTGCACCGCATTTATGAAGCTACAACTTTGGGCATTTGACCCCTAATTACCCTATTAATGAATATTGGTTGGCCCCCAGCCTATACTTACGAATGGGGGGGGGGTATGTTTCATTCTTCTTCAGGGTGAAATGGTCCAGATGCGCCGGGTTAACTAGGGGGAAGGAGAACTGGAAAGGGACGTTGGGTTCACAAGGTGAGGAACGTTTAGTTGGGAGCATCAACAGAATATGGGCTTTTGGAGTTCGCATACAGGAATTATATGTTTGCTATGAATTTTAATAAGGGACCCTTTGGTGGACATCGTTTCGGTGGGGATTCATGTCCACCAATCACTTTTGAGGTGGTTCCTGGCTCCCTATTAAAATTCATGGGCATATGTTTGATTCTGGTCCGCATGTCTAGTGAACCTCAAAAAGCTCAGGCAACATCCCCAGCATGCGGCCTGAACCCTCGGAGCGCCGTGCATCCGAACCCGCCCTGTGCATTGCAACCCTCTCGCCCCGTGCATCCCCAGAACCCTCCTCGGAACCCTACCTCAGAGCCGACGACTCAGACCCCCTGCAACAAGTTACCTTTCGCGAATGAAGGGAATGAAGAAACAAAACGAGAAAGGCAGAAACAAGTTAAACAAGAGGCAACGTCTTTGGGTCTGGCAATAAAAAGGTAAGCCAAGTGCTTCCTGTTACTACTGTGGTGGGTAATTTTTGCGTGTGTTTACCTTTGGGTTTCTCCTGGTTACCTACTCATCGCTTCCCCCCCACGCGTTTTGCATGCGCGTTATCAAGGTGAACATGACGCTGCAGTTCATCGGCTGGGTGGCCAGCCTGGTGCTGTTCATCTTCTTCATCTTCGTGTGCACGGAGGTCCTGAAGTTTCTTGGCCGTGCCAGTGATGATCCAAGAGTGTGCAACTTCTTTTGGAGCTGGTACTCGTTTTGAAGGAAAAGCAAAAGGAAAGCCCACCATATTTGGGGGTTTTCTCTAGGAAGAGACACCCTAAAGCCAAAAGGAAAATGCTGTATCTGGGATCCACTGGGCATGAAATGATTGGACCATTGGAGACATTTTTGTCCTTGACTTAAATGATGCTAGAACATGTGTATAGATAATATTTTTATCGGTGGAACCCTTTTAAAGGAGGCTAGTCTTCTAGGACCCCTCAGTCAGGTTCCGTGGGAGTGGGAGGGTACTCTTAGACTTGACTTGGATGTTCCGCAATATTTTCTCCTCATGTGATCTGAGAAGCTGATTCTGAGCGCATGTTCCCTTGGTTTCAACCAATCGCTTGGCCCAAGTTCGGGAACATCCCCAATCCCAACTTAGGGCCGGCACCCCTGGGAAAGTGTCCAGGGCCGAAGGAATTTATGGCAAAGCTTGGCGGTTCCCAGCAGACTTTTGAGACTTTGGAAAGGTGTATGATCTCAGTAGTTTGACTCTGAGGGATCAACAAACTGCTAACCTCGACTAAGTACCACTGTTCTGGGGGCAAACCACGTGCCCCCGTGCAGGTATCCCTGGCATCCGACTGGACAAGATGGCTATATGCCATGTATGTGCCCATAGTGTATTTACGGGGCACCTAGCCATGGGTACATAGTTGGGACCTTGGAACTATCCCAAGACCTTAAGCACAAGTGATCGCCTTTGCCCCCACAAGAAGTTCACTCTTGGCCCCACGGGTATGGAACAGCGTTTGACGATCTTTTTGTAATTACCCTACTCACTCGCCCAAAGCTGACCTTTTAACCTTTTGGTTTCCCTGATTTGGTCCATTTTTAGTAAAGGTTCCAAAAGGTTGACCTTTTATTTCCAGGTCCTTTGGGCAAGTGAGCCTAAGGCTTGTGCAACGGACCTGCGGCTTGAAGCTGCCGGTGATTTGGCCGGATGAGATGCGGTGGTGGGGCCGCCTGCTGATCTCCATGGACAACTTGACCTACTTCTTGTGGTTCTGGACGGCCTTCTTCTGGAGCCACGGAAGCAAACAGGAATAGGCTTGCTTAAAAGAAAAGAGGACCACTACGGGTGTGTCTTTGTTGGAGGAGATGTTTTTGTTTACTCTTCTTCTTTTTTCTTCCGGTGGCAGCAGGTGCCTTGCAAAGATGGCCAAACCTCAAGCGTTGATCATTGACAGTTTTTGCTTTGGGGCCCCTTCTTGCGCTTCTGGACGGCCGTTTTCGTTTGAGCCCCGGCTGCGAACCAAGATGCTCACGCCAACCAAGTCAATCGGGACTGACTCTTGAGACTGAACCGTGGGTCGAAACATCACCTTTTACAGGGGTCGCATGGGGTCACTGCGTTTTTAACCGGTTTAGGTTGCTGGTGCTCAGTAGTACGTAGGGAATGAGAGGGTTTTGGGAATGAACCTGGGGATTCCCCTAAAGGAAACCGTAGGGGATGGCTTTTTCTTGCGGTCATTCCAACTCATTCCCTGCCTATCGAACCCAGCGAGTTCAACATCTGCAACTTTCGGAGCTCTAGGGAGCCTTGTGGGAGCCAACTTGAGATCGAGCTCGGGGATTAGACATTACTCCTGCGGCCGGACTGGAGGGCTGTTTAACATCGCCTCCTGTCCATTAACATGCATTCATTCTGAGACTGGATTTGGGAGGCTGAGACCAATCGGACTTGTGAATATGGCATTGGCCATAAGAACATGGAATTTTATGAGAGAAAATGACTCGTTTAAGGAAAATGGTCCGAAAAGTCAGGCTCCGTGTTAGTGGAGAGGGTCGCATTGGCCGACTTAGCTCGACTCATTTCTCAACTTTCGCCTGTTTGTCCGACGGTTGTCCCCAACTTCTTGGCGGCATCCCAGACAGTCCCCTCTGGAGTTCAACTCGCGCCGAAAAAACAGGGGTGGGGGGGGGGGGGCAAATTGGATCCGCGCAGATACCTTGGAGTCACTGTGCCAAGCTTGATGCTTTTTGAGAAGGCCAGCACTTCTATTCACACATGAAGTGAGCAAAGTCAAATATAGATTTTCTTTGTTCTGACTCTTTGTTTGAAGGTATCCCTTTGTGACAGGGTCTGCAGGGGAACCAAATGGAAACCACAATCTTTTTTGGGGTGCGGGGCCTAAAACAGCAGAGCCCTCACTTAATTTGAGGACTTCTTGGTTCAGGCGGGCATACCAGCCCACGGCTAAGCGTTTGAGGATCAGCTTCAACTACTACAGCATCTTTGCGAAGCGCACTTACCACTTCTCATCCACCGGGATGTTCTCCTTCATGTTGATTGTCCAGATCCTGAGCTGGGGCATGATCATCGCGGCCTCTTTGCGCTACACGCTTTCCACGAGCATGGAGGCCAACGAGGTCATCGGACTGTCCATGGACAACATCTGGCGCTCCACACAGCTCTTCTACATCTCAGCCCCTTTGTTGTTCTACTCCATCATCAAGGGCGTCCAGGAAACAGCTTCGTTCGGGTAAGCTCTATAAGGGGGATTCGGTGTCATCTATTTAGCCACCATCCTCCAAAAATGCGGGGTCCTTCAGGGAACGGCTGCGGTTTGTTTGGGCCAGGATTACATGCGCTACCAGATGTATGGGGAGGACATCAGCTACTGGGTGGGTGGTGACCGTGGTGTCATGTCCACGAACCTCGTGAAGTACTGGACCTTGTTCCTCATTTTGGGGGCAATCGGTGCATGGATCCTTGGCTTTGTGGCCATACATGGGTGTGGCTCAAAATTGAAGAGCTAGGGCAAAGCGCATTTTTTAGTCGTTGGCTCCATCTACCTTTTGGTGCCATGTTGGTACATGTTTGTGACTGGGGCCATTCTATAGCCACAGGATCTCGTGTGGCCTTTATAGGTACTCTGTTGCCCAGTGATTTCCGCCCTTGATTCGACTTTTTTTTGTGGGAGTCAACCAACCAAAACGGCTGCCCTATTTACCCATGGCCACTGGGCATCTGAGTGAGTGAAATCGTTTCTCGGTGGTTTTTCCGGGTTTTTCGCTGATTTCTGGGATGTTCCGATGTTCCAAGGATCTACTACCTAGTGGAGGGCAGGAAGCACACGGGCGTGCTGTCGGCCGTGCTGATTGTGTCCCTTATCGCCTTGGATGTGCTTCACCCTTGCACGAACCTTTGCCAGATTTAACATACCTCCATTTGCTTAAGAATACGTGTTGTTTTCTCCAGCTGGTTTTAAAGGAAATCTATCACTGGAAATATTGTTGTTTTTGCCAGGTGGCTTAAGCAAATGGCAGCATACCATTTTGAAGCTTTTGCCAGTTCAGCTTCTTCCTTTCCCCTTTTTGTTTTGTGGCTGCACTCAAGAATGGTCAACCCCAGATTCTGATTCGGTTCCCTTCGGGCTCGCCGCGCCAGGTACTTGTGGGTGGGTCGCACAAAGATGACCGCAGAGAGAGCTTCGAAGTTGACATGGAGTCAGGCCCTGGTCACGTCGGGATGGTGGGAGTTGATGATTGGAAGGCTCATCCTGAATGAGACCGTCACTGGCATCATGAAATGGCTTGGACCGGCATGGTGCCATGGCAAGCCAGACTCAACGATTTCGCCCTTCTGTCGTCATTTCGAACTATTTGAAAGGGGATCGAGCAAACTCTTGTGTGCACTCTTTTTGGGGGGGAGGTTGAAATCGCCGCCCTGTGTGATTAGCCCCAAGTCGATGTTCGTTTGCTTAGCTATTTGGTCCCAAACCCATGTACATATATGTGTATTTTTATATATATATATATATACACCAACCCTCTGACCGATGTGCAGTTGGTAAATGTAGGTACGTTATTACCTACAGTCGGATTGTTTGGGGGTTGGATGTAACCACTGGGGAGAGGGCGGCTTGTTTTTTGCGCCCCAGGCACGGGAGTCAAGGAGATGATAGCTAAAGCGTATCCCTCCCCCCCCGCCCCACATGCACCTTTAAGAGGTGAACTTGTTCAAAGACTTATTGGAACTGATGTCCATGTGTTGTTTGTCGGCTTGCTCAAAGACGTATTGAGGTATGTCCAACATGTGTTGTTTCCTTTTTAGTTCTTGCCACTTAAGAAGCAGTGGCGCGAAAGTTTCGCACTGGCGCTTGGTCCGCATCGAGGTTCGTCTTGATGCCCTTCCTGACCCTTTTCATGCCCTACATCGGCGTCAACCAGGCCCGGCTTCCGGCACAAGCGCCGCTCGATTCTCCGGAGCACGGAGAAGAAGAAAACGGGTCGGGATTTGCCCCTTTTACGTGGAGTTCTCACCAAATTGTCTTCCCCCTGTTGGTCCTTTCTTAGCAATCTACTCTTCTAATATCCTGCAGGGGTGGATACACAGATTCGCCACATCCAAACCATTTTCTAGAACACAAGGGGGGGGGAGGGTTGGGATACGAGCAGCTGTGATACTGTGGATGGGCGAAATCTTGCACCACTTTCAGATGCAGGGTTTCTTGGGTGGTGCAGGATTTCGTCCATCCACAGTATTATTGATCTGCTCGAACAACTTCCCCCCTGAGTGGCCAAAACACGTCTTTCCAGGGTCCGTTAAAGTGGCATCCTCATATCCGCCCGCCGCGCCCCACCCCCAGAAGCCCTCAACACGGTGAAGGGCACAGGCAACACGTATCTTGGTGGTTCCCAGCCATCCGGTTCCTTAGCTTTTAGTAGTTGCCATTTAAGCGTCTAAAAGTGAAACTTGTAGTGGGGGATCTGAGGGCAGCCCAGGTATGAAGCAACCAAACACTCCATGAGATTTGTTGCCCTGGGCCTGCAGGTCTGCGTCTTTACATGCGCCAAATGGGGGCAAGCCAGCCAAATTGATCGGAAGTGAGGAAGGAACCTACGCAATTTCTAAGCTCAATAGATTTACCCGAAGGCACCCACGGTAAATGCAAGGCACGGAACGTTGTTTCATCTTTGGTCGGTTTTCCCTGAAGTACCCTTAGCGTGATGTGTCCTTGGGTGCCCCAACCATATAAGATATGTAGTATCTACATGTGTTGATATCTAGGATATAGTATCCACCGTATAAGATATATAGTATCCCCCGACCATGTCTGATTTTGGTTTTGGCTCCGGGTCGGTTCTGCGAGGCGTTCATGATGATTGGCTCCACCACCAACCGATGAGAGGGCTGGGCCGACAGGTGTCGATTGTTTTGGGGTCAGACCTCCGGTGGTGTATGTCATATCCAACGTCTTCATTATCCTTGGCATGTTTGTTTTGCGGATGTTATGGCTCTGTTCATCTTTAGTTGCTGCAAAACATGCTTGGTAGTGTTTTAGTGTGCAAAAACTGAAAGCTGCCGTTACTCACATGCCAAGGGTTAAGTCATTGTTCCCCACAGTTCTTGGAGGAGTTCACAGTTCCTCACGACCACTCCTGGCGGTTTTGGTGGCGCTCCTGTTTTTTTTTTTGGTGGTTGAACCCCGCACAAAAGCGGCGCGCTAAGCTTCCCCGGAATTAGCTCCCCTCTCTGCTTTGTTGCTTTTTTGGGGGTTCCCTTTGTTTTCCACTAACCAGGCAAAATGGATATATATATATATACATATTTTTGCTCTGGTCCTAATTCCAGCCAAGTAAAGGGTTCCAATGACTCACTCCCTGAGTTCGGTTTCTTGCGCAACAAGTTTGGGCTGTTTATGACTCTAGAGTCTCAGGAAGTGAGAGTCCTCGTTTCCTCCGGCCGGGTCAAGTCCTCGTTTCCTTTCGCAGCCAAAATGGTTTTACTCTCTTGGTCATTGTGATTATGAGTATTGTCATTGCTGACGTGATTATTATGATTACAATTGTAATATGTTGATTATTATGTTTATGCTTATTATGATGGTTGTTATGTTGGTTTTTATGATTATTATATCCTTATGATTGTCATGTTCATTGTCATCATCATTATTATTTTCTATTATTTTTTGTTTTTTCAACCATGACCAAGCGACAAGGACTCTCCTGGTCGAATCATTCCACTGGAGGTCTGGCCCTTTGTTTGAAACCGCGCAATCTACAGATGTCAAGTCAAAGAATAAACAGACAAAAAGAACCTCCGAAATGAGTCCGGACAGACTCGCCCAAAAAAGGTAACATGAGATAAACATAAGCCCCATGTAAATCATGTCCACCAGAGGGTCCCAGAAACTCATCAGATTTTTTTTGTGTGAAAGCAAAGTGTCTGACTGAGTCTCTCAGAGACTGGTGGATGGTTTTGTCGTTGGGTTCGAAAAGCAGAGCCGCGCTGGCTCTGAATCCCAGTGCCAAAGCCGTGTTTGAAGCCGTGAGTGCTGGTGGAATCCCTGGCAGGTTCCAGGGGTGCCCAATTGGGCACGTTTTGAGGTGACAGGCTGGTCTAAACCCAAATAAAACCCTGGTAAATTGAAAAGTAGACTAACACCTTCGTGGTGGTTTAATTTTCCCCCGTACCCAGCATTTATGGTGGCAAATGGAGTTTTCTCGCCCCGAATTGAATCGACAAGATCTGACCTTTGGGTTTCCCTTTTCCTTTTGTGGCAGCCATGTGTAGTGTGGCCCCAAAAGCAGTCCATTTTTTATTTGTTTTTTCGGGACATGGGCCCAAATTGTCCCACAAAACCCGGGCGGCAAACCAATTTCCCCATGCTGAACAACTGGTTTGGGATCACGCCTCTTGCCAACCCGAAGGGCAATTGCTCTCAACACCTCCCCTGCTTTGAACATCCTTCCCCCCACGAGACTAATAATTATCTGGGTGACTTATAACGACCTCGCACGACCGAATTCACCCCAAAGGGTGTTTTACGTGGGGAATAACCCCCCCAACCACCTCATTTCAGGTTGCGGAAATATTACTATTCACCCAGATTGGGAGGATCGCCATTGAAATGACCCATCGATTTGTGGAATTGGGGTCCCTTGCCAAACCCCGCCCCGGACTCCCCGAGTTCCTGAACTTGATACTTTTTTGGGAGTAATATGGCACTTGACAGGTCAATTGGAAGGGCCCTACGGCACTCACGCATCCTATTTCTCACTTCCCTCGACGCGCTCGCGCTGGCTCGCAAGCGAGCGAGCCTGCGCTCGACTGGAGACCGCGGATGGTGTTCAGCTGTCTCCTCAACACTATGTTGCCATTTTGAGTGTGGTAAGTATGAAACAGAATGCTCACTTCCTGAGTTCACGGACTTTAAACTGTTTGGGAAGTTCTTGGACTTGGTTTGGCCAATCCACGGAAGTGAGAATATTCATATGTGCCCCAGCTGTTTGGAGGTAGAAGCCAAACTCACGTTTTGCCTTTGGCAGATTGGGAGCTGTTAAGAGAGCACCGTCAAGGCATACGGTTCAGGCGTACTGCCACAGGATGAGTGTCCTCGCTCGGTTCAATGCTCCAATGCATCACTTTCAGATCAGGAAAATCGAGCGCCGTGCCGGGTCGTTTGAAGGGGTTGGGAGATTCCGGGAGTCGCCATGACCCTGCAAACCATTAGTCGCTTGCACACAAAACAAAGACTCATGACCCCATTTTTTCAGGGGAGAGCAGGGTATGCGATTCAACGGCTTGTGAGTTGACAAGTCATGGAATCCATCCATCCTTTGGCTGGAGGTTGAAACTGCTCACCCTCCCTTGGTTGATGTTCCTCGTAAGGATGGTCTTAGGCATGAGTGATAACTTTAAGGGGCGACTGGAATGCTTTTAATATGTTTGTTGTTTTGTCCCTGTGCAGAGTCCCTCAACAGGAGGAGACCTGGAGGTTTGCCGGACATAGCATTTGACAACCTTGGCCACTTGAATGTTTGTCCGCCAAACACACACACACACACACACACACACTTGAGCCAATTTCAATTGAGTTATTTTTGATTCGGGCAGGGCTGATAGCCTTCCTGTAGCTGCTGCAAGCAGCCGAGCAACTAAAGGAAAGCTTCCATTCCCAAACAATCCATGCAATGCGTACCTGGAGTCTCCATGACCCTTGAAACATGGGGAGCCCTTTACGTTGGGTATGATGGGTCAGAAGGAGACTGCAGGTACCCACGTTTACTTTCCAGGCCCAATGTTGGCATAAATCTAATGGTACCTTCCCCATTCTTTCCAGGATCCTTCTTTTCAGCAAACCGTCAAAATCCCAGGGGAACAGTTTTTTTGTTTTTAAGAACAATAATTGAAAATAATGGAAAAGGAATCAAGCCCTAGACTAAAAAAGCGCCATGGGTTTTGGTGGCAAAGGTCTGTGGTCAGCTCTCGGAGCGGTGCCTCAAAAATTTCGGCGAGAAATCCCGTCCAAAGAGCGTACACTAGGTCCCCAAGCTAGGTGCCCGCTTCTTTTTGGGGGGGAGGGTTCCCCTACTAAAATAGACTACAGAAAAAATCGGGTACCAACTTATTCTAACCTCTCGACTGGCGGACCTAGTACATGGTTTTCCCCGAGCTTCTGACACCCTGTGGCCCATGGCAGCTGAAGAGGTTCCGGCACGTGATTGCCGGGGTCCAGAAAGAAACTCATGGGAAACCTTTGTCCCACCGAATGTTGACAGATGCCAAATGTCAAGACGTTCAGTTCGGGTATCGGCGTGTCCCCGAAAAGGGGTTGAACCCCTTTGTGAGCAGCATTTTGAAGTTGCAACCTTGGGTCCCCTTAATTTTGGCTCGCCTAGCGCACCTGTTTGACTTGTCGCCTTCACTTTGTTGGTTTCCTTCATTTTCCCTTCCAACCAGCAACCAGCTTAATTGTTTGAGGGTGCCTAAGTTGCGCCAGTCAAAAGGACAATTGTCTTCCTGGACCCCCCGTGCAGCCGACCTTGTTGGGGTCCGATGCCCATTTGCAGGCGAGCTTTGCAGATCTTTGAGGCATAGCGTGCCGCGATTTGGGGGGGGGGAGGGTCGCGAGGAGTGCGCCGGGAAGGTCCAAAGAACTTTCGAGGATCCATCATATGGAGGATAGTGGGAGCAAGGGTATTTCAGGGTTTCGGCTTTAGGGAAACATGTGCAAGACGTTTAGAGCCAAGAAGGGACACGGTAAAGACATGCGAAGAAGAGGTGTACAACAGCGACCCCAGTTACAAAAGCGGGACCGACAGTTCAATACCTCCTCGTGTAGCTCAACGATTCAATTGATACATATATATATATATATATTATATATATGTGGCTTCTGGTCGAAAACGAACAACCGCAACCCTACCCGCAAGGGGTAAAAATTATCGATCTTCAGAGCTCTGAACCTCGAAAACCGAGGGAAACATCGGAGAGACCTCAAAATTGTTGAACATGGGAATCGTCCCCGGCATTCTGGCTTCTTTATTTAATATAATGAATTGTTGGCGGACAAAATGCGGGCGGGCAAAAATCCGAGCAAACAAATTCGGACAACAGTTAGAATTCCTGTTTGGAAGTGGTCCCAAACCATATAGATTGCTATATTTATCTTCCCTTAAACAACAAATACACAAGGCCAACCAGTCACACAAACGGTGTGCCCGCCAGAGCCCCGTATTCTGTTTAACGTGTCTCTTTGGTGATTCGCTTTTTGTTGCGAGATTAGCTGAAAATCCCAGAAAAACCTGTGAGCGCGTGCTGCTTTAAAAAGTGGTTCATCCTGAGCGTTCGCAAAGGTCAAAGCCTTGGCAGTACGACATGTAGAATTGGCAGTTATATGCACTGAGAATCTGAGAGGAAGTCTTAGCAATACTAGCTTTTGGAAATGGCAATACTAAACTAAGTACTCAAAATTTGTGAGTAAGTCTTGGCAATGCTAAGTTTGGCAATGGCAATACTGAGCTCAGCACTGAGGACTGGGCAACGCTAAAGGAGACGCTGGAAATCTGAGAGTACTAAATTTATAATTTGCAATACTAGATTAAGCACTGGGAATCTGAGAGTAAGTCTGGGCAGTGCTAAGTTCAGAACTGGCAATGCTGATTGAATCATTGGCAAGTCCACGTCGAACCAAGACCCCCAAAGCTTCTACTAAAGAGGACTATAGGGGGAAAAACCTATGACAGCAGAACACTTTTTTTCGAGCAGAAAGAACCAAGGCACGCATCCCATGGCTGAAAACCCTTCTGTCTGACTCGGTGCGTGCGATCCGCAGCGGTTTACGGTTTGAGGCTTTGCCTTGGGGCCCGATTTGCACGAACCGCGCGCGCGGGCCGCGCCCTGCGCGGTGGGCGAAAAAACAGCCCCCATGGCTGCGCCTGGGCGCAAAAAGAACCAGTGCTTCCAGGGACAACTCGGACCTTACCAACTAGGCTTGCGGGAAATTCTGCATCACCAAGGGAAGCACCCGTTAAATGGTCCTCGAGGAAACGCGTTTTCGGGGAGAAGAGTTTGGGATGGATTATGCCAGCGAATAGTCATGGAATATTTTCGCATCCATACCTCCCAAACATGTGCTTGGTTTCTCCGGAGCGCAGCTTGGGCACCAAGAATTCCATCCCGCTCCCTTTGAATATGTTTCAAACTGCCCATGTGAACCTTCGGGGCTTAACAGTCCCGAAACAAGTATCCCTTTGACTGGGTAATGTGAACCCTTCAGCTTTTCAACAGCCCCGAAACGTCATAATCCGCACGGCCCAACTGAAGCATATGCTGGGCCGGATGAGTCACTTCACGAGGTCCAGGTGGCGGGTTCCCGAGGTCGGAAGGAGGATTTGTTCGTAATCGTAATCGACCCAGATATCTTCAGAATCTGCTGCCCTTTCTGATTGTTTGCGTTTTTGGGGTCCGCTTGGTGCTCCACTAAACAACCACAACATAGAGCTTTTTGCTGGGGTCCTATTTCCAGCCAAAATATGTTTTAAGCCAGTCAGGCTGTTCTCAAATGATAGGGCTCACGTTGGTGCTCTTGTTTGGCATGTGTACATGTGATGCATGTGCAAATGGGGGATCCATAGTGTGTGTCCTCGTCTTTGCTTTGGTTTGCTTGCAAACAAGTCATCACATCCCCCTGAATGTGTTCATGCCATGTCTAAACAAGAGGGCCTCCATTGGCTTTCATAGGGTTTCATCCAACTGGTGCAGGTTTTGTCCATCAAGCCAAGCGAACGAGGACCCGGGGATCTGCTTCATGTCGACCCCGAATGAATTTGAGGAACTGGATTAGAGCCGCGTTTCCTCAAAGAGAGAGCCGGATTGAAATGGGTACCTTCCTCACACCTCTTAAAAACAAAACTTTTCAACTTTTTGGGGGTAACATGGGCTATATGTCTGTAAAAGATTAACTTCCCCAGGGCTTGGAGTTTTAAGGGGTAAGTCCTACACTCAACCAGGGGTTTGTTATTTGGAGGCTCCCATGGCACACGGCCTGTTGATTTGCACCCACACACACACACCCCGCCCCCCCCCCCTTTGCATGTTTGAGAGCCTTCGCGGCAAACTCAGGACATCGACATTTGCAGCCGCAGCTACTTGGAAGGACGTTGGCCGGCTTCTGAAAATAGGCCCCTAGAGCTGATCGCAGGCAATCGAGCAAGTTTCTTTCCAAGTCTTTGTACCTTCATTTTGCCAGTCCATTCTCAAACAACTTGTATTCATTACATGGAAATTGACATTTCCTGACAACAAACCCTGGCTGCAAACTGGCCGATGCGGATGGAGTTCCGAGCCATGGGTCGGTAAGAACAGAATGGTTCCTGAACATGTCAATGAACTAGGGCCAGCTTACTTTTGACTAGCTCAGATTCGGGTATGTCGGGAAGTTGTGGGGTCTGTGGTAGACCTCTTCTTAAATTCTTCTTCTTTTTGGGCCCAACTGGAAATGGCTTCATCGTGCCGGTGCTTTCTTTTTGGGCCTTCTCAAGCAGAGGCCCCAGTCCGGGGACCCTTCGGGTTCCATGGCGTGGATGGGCATTTGTCCGGGACGAAGTTTGCGGCGCACCGGTGGGTTTTGAGTTTTGTTTTTGTTCACTTTCAGGAAGGGGGGGGGGGGGGGCGAAAGGGAGCCAAAAAGGAACACCATTTTGGAAACTAATGGACAAACAACCCCTGGAAAGGCCCTTTCTGTGCAGGCGATTTGAACTGTGTCATCGACTTGCGGCTCTCATGGAAGTATAGATGGCTGACCCCAACAAAGCAGCTCCATTGGTTGTTGACCTCTCTCTTACCGCTGGAGGAAATTGACTTGTTTTGCTCCAACCTATTGTTGGTCTGTGCCCACTAGGCTTTGGTCAGCTTTCGAGGTTTCAATCGGAAATTGGGTTCCACCGAAGGGGGGGATTCCGGTTGTTGGGGATACCACCTGGGCTTATTTTTTTTGCATCGGTCGGGTTCTATGTTTTGTTTGTAGTTCCGAGCTCCCTTCCGTTTGGTCCACGTCAAAAGCGAACGGCCAGGCAGCAAGGCCTTGGGCCCTTCTAAGACTCGCCTGTCGTGTGTCTTCGACATGTTTTCACAGCTACTTTCGCTTCAAAGTGGCACAGAAAGATACCCACCCAAAGACACATATTCACTGTATGTGGTTATGCATGACGCTTTGACTTACATATCTTTGTCAGTCGTGAACCTCTTCCGCTGAACGCGCAGTGTTGCACAAGAAGGAAGGGTGCCCGACACGCTCTGCCCACACTCTGCGGAATTGGCTGCCCTCCCCGAAGGAATGATTCCACTTTTTAAACTTGCTGGTGCTCAGTAGTGAATGAGGGAACACGGGGATCCCCTTGCAAGAAGCCACCAGTTGCCTGTTTGATGGTTTCTCTTGGGGGCATTCCATTTCTCATTTTTTCGACTGAGCACCATGAAGAATTCATTTCTGGTTGATGAATAGGGTGTTTCTCCCAGGCTCACGCTCGGGGGGTGCCGACCTCAGCCACTGAGCCACAGGAGCCTTCGGCTTCCCCAATCCATGGAAAGGATGAGTGGGTTGGGCGTGACTGGTTTCAGGGAACCCCGCAAAAAAAGGTGCGGGGAAGCCGTGAACGGCAACCAACCAGTCTGGCTGTCGACCCTCAGAGGCACCACGCAAGACCCCCATTCCTGTTTTTCTTTGCCGGGCGGAGGGGTTCACCTTCACTTCTGCTAGCCTCAGGCATAGCTTCGCGTTTTGGGTGTCAAAAGGGCCGTGTTTGGGTACTGGGGACCACCATTTTCTGGAAGCAACTTGCCCAGAGAAATCATTTATCGCTCCAACCGGACGGGGCCCCGCTTTACGCCACCATTCAACGTGGGTTACTCACCCCATGTTTGAAGGGCCATGGCGACTCCAGGTGCCTGAGGGTGGAGCAGACGTTTACATGTCCGAAGGCAACACGGTTCACAAAACTGGCAGAGGGTTGCCATGGACTGCACACACGCACTGTTTGTTCCAAGCTCACCGAACTGTTTTTGGCAACACGAGCGATTCCACCCAGGTTGAGGGATTCCCTGCTGGTGGGCACTTTTTAGGCAAATGAGTAGTGTTCTTTTCGCTTATTTCCCGGTTGACACGAGCGATTCCACCCAGGTTGAGGGATTCCCTGCTGGTGGGCACTTTTTTTCTACGTCGGGCAACATGTACTCCGAGTTGTATCCTTTTTTCAACCATTGAAGTCGACAGGGTGGTCCATTTTTATGGCCCCAAAAGGTGATCACCTTTGGTCGTCTGGAATGAGAGGATTTGTTGCTTCCTTATGCGTGGGGACTGTCCCGGCAGATCAAGTCGACCACAATTTTTTTATTGCTTTCGGGTGTTGTGAGGAGAACACGGGGCCCGGTACAAGATTGTCGCGCTTGAAGAACAAAACGCGGGAACGCCTGAAACGGTTGGACTCCATGTTCTGCTCACACCCTGAGTTCTGTATCGGACTTTAGTCACTTCTTGAGTTTGGACCATGGTAGTGGTAAACAAATAGTTTGGCTGTGTTTTAGTTTTGGCAAATGAGGCGGCGGCAACCTTTGAGCCAAACCGAACACTTAATCCCAGTGACCCCTTGGCCCTACTGGTCGCCAAATCGTTGCTTTCCACAGGCCATGGGTTGAACCCCTTGTGACCCGAGTGAAGTTGGACTGCCAGGTCCCGCGCATGTGGCATTGCTAGGCTCAACCCACCTGTCCAGCACCCTTTTGAGTTTCCTGCATTGTCCCTTTTAACTCACCCCTGGGGTTCCTTGCCCCCATTGAAAGAATGGCCTTGGGACCCAATTTGGATGAAGATCCTGAAGGGTAAATAATGGTGGTTTTATTAACCCCCACGATCCGACCCCCATTGTTTTCATGGTGGTTCGAACTGCAGGGAAAGGGAACTCACTTTAAACTGGGCCGAAAGGTGATGTTTCAATCCATCCCATGTTTGTTGGTATTGACAAGGGGCGTCATCATTCCAGGGCTTCTTAGGTGGCGCGGAGTTTCGTCCATCCACAGTATTAACTCCATTATTTTAATGGTGATCACTGAACCCCAGGGCCACTTTTTCTGAACAGCTGAAAGCTTCGTCTGGTCTCTTCCCAGAGCTCCGGAGAACTCCACCGGAGCAGCTCCAAGGGTGGGTCCGGAGGTTTTTTTCAGGAGGTCCTGGGCTCATTTTGCCTGGCGCTCCCTTCTTCCCTTTGCTTAAGCATATTTTATATATGGTTGGTTTTCAAGGGAATCTCTCAAAAGCTGTTTTGTTTCTTCCGGGAGACTTGAGCAAACGGCAGTTTGCCTCTCACCCGAAAGGTGTCGAAAGTTTTGGGCCAGATTCGCGACTCCCGCGCCGAGATTCTCCAGAGTGTGAGCTGGACACGGAGCAAAGCACCGTGGACCCTACCTTGAGGAACTTGAAGCAGCGTCGCGGCTTGACTTGACTTGAGCCTGTGCTTTGATGCTATTTTTTGGGGGCAGGAAACAAGCCTAGCTTTATTTAGGGGTATTTTATTGTATTTATTTGGGGCAGGCTTAGCTTTATTTAGTTGTTTTTTTAACTAATCATAGGTGGACATTACTCTTTTGGGCGGATGTTGTGCTGAAGGAAGCTACCGGGGAACAAGAAAGGGTTCCGGGACATTTACATCTCCCTTGTCCAAAGCCGACGTTTTGTTTTTCTGGGCTTCCTTTGGTGGTCTACTTTCAGTCAATGATCCTACAGGGTGACCTCTGTGTTTGGGTCCTTTTCTTTTGCAGCTGAGAGGATGTGACTTGATTCGCCATGCAAACCCTATGCACCCGGCACCCTTGCCCTCAGGCGCTGGTCCCGGATGGGTCCCGAAAAAAAGCAGAAGAAGAAGAAGAACAAAAAACATGTGACTCGTGTGACTCCTCGTTTGGTTTGGCAGGGCCTTCCCCGAGTCCCCGGGCTCTTTTTACATGAAGGTTTCGGAAGACCACCACACAACACTGAGAGTCACTTTCTTGGTTGGCCGGTTGGAGATCTCCAAAATCGGAGTCGGAACCCCCCCCCAAAAGGATCGATGTCCGATGTCCTTTTTTTTGGGTTCCCTGAACAGCCACCCGCAAAAAAGGGGTACCTGTCCAACTGTTGGTATGGTAGCAAAAACAAAAAGCCGACTATTTTTTGCATCCTACCAAGAATGATCAGAACCCACAAATTCCTGAAAACCACAAAACTCAAAGAAAGAGACGCCCAGTTTCCACGTTTGGCCAATCCTCTAGTTGCCCAGTTGCCTGACAGTGCTCCGTACCAGGATGGAACATTGGCACATGGGAACCCCGAGTTCAGCAGAAAACCGGTGGATGAAGACTTGAGGGCTGTCCCCTTGTGGGGATTTCTCACTTTTGGAGGGAACACGGGTCAGCATTAGGCGTTTCAACACGTTCAATCCTGGGGGTCTCAGAAAATGTCGTATGTATGGTTTGGCTTATGATTTTCGGTTTGCCAAGTGTCAAGAAACTCAAGTATTGTGCTTGTTCGTTCCAAAACCGTCACCCTTGTGAAAGAGTTTTCGGAACAACCCTTGATTGGCCGTCAAGAGCCCAGACACCCAGTGGGTTGTGAGCCCTTTGTTCATGTTTTTGTTGTTTGAGTCGAACGGCCCCCTTTAGGATCACCTAGCAACAGCAGAGTGCCCTTTGTCTCCCACGCGGGCTGGAAGATCCCCCCTTTGGAGGTGGCTGTTGCGACATCTCTCCACTGAATGCCGCCTGCTGCTGCCACTGCTTCTACGTTTGCCAGTTCCTAATCTTTATGGTCGTGTTCCCTCTCTGGACGCCGCTGGGCTGCAGGCTCCGAGAACCAGATTGCGACCGCCAAGGGAAAGAAAAGTGTCCCGTCCAAGGGGAACCCATCCACCACCCAAAAGACCTTCCAAGGGGTTCGGAACTGGGAGGCGTTCCCTTTCTGGATTGCATCCTCAGTTGTCCAAAGCGAATCGACCGGATCTGACCTTTTGGTTTTCCCGTTCTGGGTTCCCATTTTTAGTGGAGGTGCCAAAAGGTGCTCACCTTTTAGTTCTGGGTCCTTTGGGCAAGTGAGCATCTTTCCCAACCTTCTGTCAGGTTTGCTAGTGGTTGGATGCGAGCCGGAGCTAAGAAGCTACCAGGAGTTCTGCAAGGACATGGTCGGTTCCCCCTTTTGGATTTCGATTCGAACTCCCAGGTCCTTGTAGAGGGTGCAACCCCCGCAACTCCAACTAATCCAAGCCACCAAACCAGGCGAAGCTACTTCTGCAATCGAGGAAGGTGTCTATCCCCCCTGAAAACCAGCGACAACTGTGAGGCGGTCTGGTTGGGGTTGCCTTTGCGCAAGCAATGCTCTTTCTGTTGGGGTGATGTTTGATAGGACATCTCCCGCAGTTGGTCTATTTATCAGCTTGTGCGTGTGACTGTTTGGACGGTTGTGCAGTTTGCTGCTTTGAGCACGTTCATTGCGCAAAAGTTTGCTTTCATGTTGGCGTGGTTTTCGCAAGCCTTCGCAAAAGTGATCCAACTAGTGTTGACACACTGCCGCGTATTGAGTTCTTTCCGGGAGCACTTGTGTCCACGCACAAACACCATGGAGAAGCAAGTGGGGTGGGCGACGCAACAATGTTTTGATTTGTTGATTGCTTTCTGTAGCCCCCAAACATAGTTCTATGGGGCATTGGGCTCAGGGGGTTCAACATGGTGTGTCATTTTTCAGGTACCCGATGTTTGTGGTTTTGAAGGGAACACCGAAATCGCTTTTGGGGGTCCACGTCCCAAAAAGAGGCACACGCGAATGTGAGTTCGCCCTGCTAGGAACCAAAAGGACAATTTCCTTTTTAGGCCCTACACTCGGAAACCCTGCTTTGCAGGAGTACTGCCATCAAAGAAAAGACGAGCCACCCTAACTAGCTGTTGGTTGGAAGGGAGACGGACTCGGAGCTAGGGGAATCCATGTTTAGCTTGAATGGGGGAGCCTTTCGGAGCAACCTGGAGATCTGGTTCGGGAACATGGTTGTTTCGGGTGGCTCCTTTTGTTGGAGTTGGAACTCTTTTTGGCGGTTAGTTTATAGTATATAGGGACACCACCCCGTTTTTTTGGCTTTCCCAAATTTGGGAAGCTCATCTCATGCGGGACTCGTCTTCCAAGGAAATGGCTGGTGTCCAATCCAATGCCCACGCCCCTTGGGCCGAAGGATTCCGTGCGCGTTGTCCCTTCCCAGTCCGGGTAAGTGAGACTTGAATCTATCAAACCCCTGGTTAAGTGAGAAGCAATGGGAACCCCCGGTCAAGCGAGAAGTACTCCTGCCACACTTCGGGTCTCCGAGTGGAGGCCACCCTTAATTTCTTCGCGCAACTTCTGGGGAAATCCAGTACTGCAAAAATCGAGATGAAGATGCCAGTGCTGCCGTAATCCAGTACTGCCGTCAAATGGAGATGCCAGAGATTTTTGGCAGTTTTGGGGTTCCAGGTGAATCTGGTGTCAATGTGGGCCGTTGTGCCACATGTGCCTGGTCACGAAACAAAGAAGCACAGAGTTCTTCCGACCGAACTTCCGAACTGGCGCCTTAGGGCAGCCAGTGGGTCCATGCAAACCTGTTTGGTAGGCAGCCAAGGGAACCACCCTTTACAAACCAACAGAAGAATAGCTGGTTACCCACTAGGGTAACTGGGATTCGCTGGGCAAGTTTGGCTTGTCTCTCAGTTCCAATCTCTAAATGCCAGAGGTCCTTTCAATAGAGTCTCGGGCCAACAGTTTCTCAGCTTGTTCTAGCCATTTCTAGCCAACTCAAGTTGCTTTTCTGGCCAACTCAAGACGATAATATCAGCTTGTCTTTGCACTGGACCCTTGCGGTTGCCGTTTGAGTTCTTAGATTGCTGTTGAGGGTGCGGAGCCCCTTGGGGCACTTTTTGTGAATGCTTCACGTGAGGAGGTCAGCATGTTTTGCCATCTCGCACACTCACCAAACATGCAATTAAAACAGGCCCTCAAAATCGGTTAATTTTTATCTTCTATTTTCCTAAATCAAACCAACACACGGAGGGGGGACAAAAAACTCAATTGGTATCCACAACAGCGACCCCCTACCCCCTCAGCCCCCGACTCCCGATTCCGGCTGCCTCCAAAGCTCATGCCAATCTCCGAGGCAATACTGGCACGAGGCCTATCCGAGTTGGCCCGCCATCGCAGCACTTGGAGGTCAAGATCCCTGGCCGGACTGAGCAGTCGCTTCCCGTTTGTTGTTCGACCCACTCGCGGGGCTTCGGGTTGGGGGTAGACTTCAGGCCAAAGGCTTTCCTCAACTCGCCCCCTTGGGGGGTTGGCGGTAGATACCCTGACGAGCCGTATCCCTTTTAAAGGGACCCTTGAAAAGTGGTTTTCGGTCGGCTCAAGGGAAGCCAGCGAAAACAGCCAACCAGCCAACATGTCTGGCTGCGAGAGATGCAGGGAATGAGTTGGAAGCACCCAAGATTTGAAGAATCCCTTGTGGCGTCCGTGAAGAGAATCCTCAGGTTCTTTCCAGACACCCTGGGTCATTTTCTAGTGACCAGCAACTTTTGCAGACTCGCCAGTTCCATTGCACGACTGCAACCTGTTTGTCTTGCTATGCCTTTTCGGCGTTTTCCTTCCTTTTCCTGTTTTGACCAGCGTTTTTGCGTCCTTTTCCCGTTTTGACCAGCGAGCAAGTCGTCACGTCTTGGCGTCAGCTCCGTGCTCAGGATCTTGCGGCCGAGGGCGGCATGAGCATCGACATGTCCCCGCTGCCCACGGAGCGGTTTCGCGGGGTTTCGCGTCGGGCGCAAAGATTGGCAGGTGATGCTAACGGTTTCCCCAGGATCATGTGCTAGGTCCCCCAGTACAGCGCCCTTTTGCACTTTTTGGGGGGAGGGTTCCCGTACTAAAATAGACTACAGGAAAAGGGTACCCTTATTCTAACCTCTCTACTGTGTGTGTGTGTGTGTGTAGCGTGGCACTTATTCTGAACGAACTTATGGGTCGCTGAAAGCTGTGCAAGACATGTCCTAACTTTGGATTAGTCCGGCGGACCATACTGTTCACCCAGACTCTCCTGGGGCTTCCAATCGAGGATCCAGATCCTCCATTGGACACCCCAGAGGGGTTTTGGGGTCTCAAAACCTGGCTGGGCCCAAACTAGATCGAATTGGATCGTTTGGGCAGGGATAAGGAGCTCCCAGGAGTTCTGCACGGACATGGTAGGCTCCAACACTTGGTGGGTTTGGATTGGTTTGGATTTGGATTTGAGCCCTTGTAGAGGGTCCCACTCCCCGCCACCGACTGGAGGCAAGCTGGTTTGTGACCAAGGCGCCCAGAGGGACCGTTCTGAAACGAAGGGTGATTCCATCTTCAAAAGGTGATCGACCTTTGCGCAGGTCAATGGGGAGCGACGAGTTTCTGAACTTCAACTTTTTTGGATAACCATGTTAGTGGTTATAAGAGAATGTGTGGACTTTTTCTGAGTCCACTCAGGAAGCGGGTAATAGGGGGGCTGGATCCTTTTGAGGGCACCACCCCGAACCTTCAAGGTTGATGCCACTAACATGGAGCGCTCCCTGGACTGATTCCATGCGTTCCCAGAGCTGGTTCGCTACTTTAAAAAAATATCAGCATTGAGTGGCTAGTATAAGGTTCAACTTTTTGCAAAAAGCAAGCTTGCAAATGAAGCCCCTACTCAAAGTATCCAGCTACATTTTGACTTGCCAATTCCATTTCCTCCCTTTTTGGTCAGCGGTTTATCAAATGGATGCTGAGGAGCCCTCTTGAACACTTAGCTTCCTCCGCCGAGCAGTGCAGCTGCACCCCCTTGCCCCTCGTTTCATGTTCCCAGTTGCCCAGTGGCGCCCTTTTGTCCCTTTGTTTGGGGGGAAGGCTTCCCTTTCAACTCCACCAACCCCACAAAGGATGCCGATTCTTTTTTTTCCCGGACATCCACAGAGCATTTGAGTCACCGTTCTAGGGGTACCTTCCCCATTCTTTCCAGGGATCCTTCTTTCTAGAAAACCTCCGGAAACCCAGGGAAAATAGCTGGTTGTTGAAAAGAACGAGGGTTGGAAAGAATGGAAAAGGAATCAACCCCTAGAACTGTGGGTTCCCACAAGGACCCTGACAGCTGCAACTACTCGTGCTCCTCCTGGCGCGGATACCGCACCAACGAGATGAACTTCAAGGCACTCGGTCGGATTGGACTGGGGCCGGCCGCCGACGCCGGGCGGTCCGCTGCCCGGAAAGTCGGTTTGCACGCTTTGGGGTCTAGCCCCGCAGGGAAACACAGAACGACATGGTTAAGCTTCCTTTTTCATTTGGAAAATTTGAGGAATGGACAGGTTCCTCTCCCAGGCGTTGAACTGGCAGCGTTTTGGCCTTGCTGGTGCTCAGCCCTTATAAACCATCCCTTGTGGTTTCCTTTAAGGGGACCCCTGGGTTCATTCCCAGATTCCCTACTGAGCGCCAGCAAGTTTCCTTGGGTTCCAGAAAATTGCCAACCCTGGCCTCCTTTCTATGCTAGTTCGCTGGCTGAAGCTGGGATACGCAGAAAGACCCCCCGTTTTGGATGGCAAGTGTTCTATATTTTTTTGGGGGGGGTTCTCAAAATGGTGGAGCACCTTTTGGGCTCTGTTGAAGAAAGGAAGCTGACGGCCAATAGGAAACCACCCCCGTCTGATGCTACAAGCCGGGACGTGGGACTTCGGACTCGTTCGGAGGTCTCCCTGACGTTGAACCACACGAACCTCTCCAAGGGCTTTGTGCACACCGCGGCTCGGAGAGAAGTCCACGGCTTATGGGTTCCCAGTCGATCAGTGGATGATGTTCCCTTGAAGTCGAGCTCCCCTTAATGTTAACCCCGGATTAAGAACCCCGTGGTTGATTACTAGGGGGGTGTCCCCTTTTAGTGGGGATTCATCACCCCCCTAATAATGGGACGGGTTTGGTAATCCTGGGTCAACATTAGGGGTGATGCTTTGAAGACAAATGTAGGGAACCCGGTCTTTCCAAGAGTCATGGAAATGGAAAATAAAGGCCCAGTTACTTGAGTGGCGCTCTCTACTGTATGGCTATTTGGTAACGGATCTTTGGACCTTAACTTGTTGAAACAGGCCGGATTTGTCCGTACTGGACCCACAAACAGTTAAACACTTTTTGCAGAGGGGTCAACAGCAGCCACAGAACTGTTTGCTTAGTGGCTTCCCCATAAAATGCCAGCCGCTCCCGATTTTCTGCTAGAGCTTAAATGGGTAGCCCCCTACCCTAGAACCCCCTTAGGAGGTTCTGAGAAGCTTGCAAGCAATAGGCGAAGGTTTCTCATGCCCGGACTTTAGTCACTTTTGGAAGTGAGGTTCTGGCATGGAAGCCAACAACCCTCATTTTGAGAGGACAGCCCCCTCCCCCCTCTTCGGCTTTCATGATAAACACATGGGTTAGGCTAACAACAAGCTCAAACTTAAACGGGCAAAACAATCGGCTTTCTGATTTCTATTGTACACCCAAGTGGAGATTGGTACCTGCAATTCAATTGTTGCGCCGTTTGGGGCCACACGCCAGGGGGACACAGTTATTTCTCAAATAGCATTTGGTTTTGTTGGCTTTCTTGTCCAACGAGAATCGAACGTTTTGATCGTACCTTTTGCTTGTCCCTTTTTTGTCTAGTTTTAATCGAGGATCCAACAGGGATATGATGTTTCTATCATTGTTGTCCAGGATCCAACAGGTTAACCTTTGATTTCTGGGTCCTGAGGGGCAACTGAGTTTGGAGATGTGATATTTCTATCATTGACCCCTCTTGCGGGTCTGGTAAATGTAAAGGTAAAGGGAACTTGGCCCTCAGTTTCCTGTTTGTTCTTGCAGCCTCTCCCTTGCTACCTTCTGAATGGTACACAGCATGTTTTGGTTTTCCTGCGTTTGGTTGGTTTCGCTTGTTCCCATTGGTTTCTCAACGTCCAGTTAGCGCACACCCTCTATATGGTTTGGGACCTCTTAGTAAGGTATATCCTCTAAAATGGTAAACCCCAACATGTGTGTTTGTTTTTCCGCGTTTCCGCGAGTTGCTTGCCAGTAGTGATGTATAGTGGCCTTAGGTATCCTGGTGTTTGTTTGGTTTGCCCTGCGCTGCTTTGGGGTACCTGAAGCTACCTGCAGGTTTGTGTTCCCCCCCCCCCAACGCCCGGGTTTCTCTTGGTTTCTCAGGTAGCTTGTAATTGGTGGTTTGGATTGGTGGTTTTGGGGATGTGAGGTCCTGGCTTGTGAGAAGGTAAATGGGAAACAGTCTCTCAGTCTCCAAACCACCAAAATGGGATGGAAGCTGTTCCATTTCGTTGCGCTGGTTTTTCTGTTGGTTTCCCTTGGTTTGCCTGCTTGGCTTCCCCAGGTTTTCAGCCCCCCACTGAAGGGGACCCCCTGACCCTGCCCTGAACCACCCCAACCCCAAACACACCGGGCCCCTTGACACAGGCTAAAATAGAGAATTGGTTGGTTTGGTGTGTTTGGGGGGGTCTAAACGGACAAGTTCTGCGAGGTTGCTTCCCCTGTTCCTTAGTGTTGGCTGCCCTTGAGGTTTATCCGGTTCTCTTGGCCTCGGCGGACTTCAACGACTGGTGGGTGGTGGCGGACCGCCGCCACGCCTGGCCCTCGCCCTTCTGGCGCGCCCAGACGGCCGTCTCGGGCTACGCCTACACCCACGAGACGGAGCGCGCGGATGCGACGTCGGCAACGCCGGCGTTCTCCCCGTCCGTGTTCTGCTTCGGGGTTCGACGGGCGTTTTTTCAGGTCCTATGTTGGCGAATAGTGTTTTGTGGGGAACTTCCTCCAGTTTATTTGTTGGACACCCTTCATTTTTTGAATTTCCCTTTTTGGGTTTAAAGGGAATCCATCACTGCTGGATATATGTCTTGTTCCAGTGGGCTTCAGCAAAGGGCAGTAAATGTATCAACTTCTCAACTTCCAGTGACCCCTGCTTCCTTTCACTTTCTGAGTTCCTGGAAATTATGTTTTCTGGGATTGGATTATCTTTTTAGTTGGAGCCTTCAAAAGTGGCGGTTGCAATGGACACCACCTGTAAATTGATCAACTCTTTGAGGCGGAAACCCAGTGACCCCTGTTGGAACCCTCCAAACGTGGCGCTCGTTTCAATGGACACCACCAGCAAATTGATGAACTTTTGGGGAACTTTCGCAAACGTCTCTACGAGCAACTTCCATTTGATTAAGAATGTCATGTATGTCTGCTCCTGGTTTCAAAGGGAACCCGTAAGTACTGGATTTTGATATGGTTCAAAGGGGCTTAAGCAAAAGAGGGGAATGTTCGCGCGAACGTCTCGACATGGCTGGTCTTTGTGTGGTGTGGCCGGATAGCCCCGTAGACCTTTTCGAAGCGGTAGCCTGGCTTGCTCTTGCCGCGCTGCGCAAGAGGTCCACTACAAACCACCACCCCCGAAGACAAATTGAGAGTAGCCATCATACAGCCACTATTAATCAGGGTGTACAATTGCATGTTTCTATATGTGCATAAATGATACCCAGTCTTCCCTGGACCCTTTTGGCCAATCCCAATGACCTGCCTGCTAATGTTGTCCCCACTTGACTGCTATTGGGCAACGGATCTTTAGACTTCAACTTTTTGGTTGAACTGAAGTGGTGTTTTCCACTAACCCCCCAAAAGTGAAACTCACTTTTTGCAGGGTCGTTACAGCAGCAACCAAGCGCCCAAAGCTCCCGAATCCTCCCCTTGCTCTTGGGGCAACGGGCAAGAGCAGGGCCAACAGGCTGTCTCGGAGGTTCAACCCACTTCGCAGGTAGCTTATAACCACGACTCTTGGGGAAACTGGGGTTAGTTCTTGGTACCCTGGCGTTGGGTTTGACTGGGGCAGCCAAAGTGACATCCTCAACACACAGTTAGGTCAAAGTAGGTCAAAGTAGATCGCAAAATATCCCCCATTTAGGTTGAGTCGTCCCCTTTACTTGCCCACAGAAAGGACGTTCTGCCTAATTCTGCCTTCTACTTTCACCCTGGCCACAGTGTAGCCATTTAAATGGCTTGACCACACAAATAATTTCGGTTTTTGATCTGTTTCCGCAAGGGGGAGGACGTGGAAAAAGTTCTCGGGGTGCAGAGGCCGCCTTTTTTCTCACTGGTTCAAAGCGAATCGACCGGATCTGACCTGTTGATTTGACCTTCTTCTTTTTTTTGGTTCTTTTGGTCAAGGATCCAATAGGTTAACTTAACCTTTATTTGGCCAGGCGCGGCCTAAGAGATAAAGACACTAGATACTGGACCTTAGAAAGCCAATAGCCTCAAGGCCAGCTCGCCTCGGGGACGTGTGGCCTAAAGGCGCGCACTGATTTCCTGACTGAGCATAGGGGTCAAAATGGACCCGTTTTATTTCCTGTTATTTTTATTTATTTATTTTACATTTTCTTTTTTTAACAAGGGCCCAACCAGGCCTCTAGTTGCTTGCATGTGTCTGACATTTGTCCGAGCATGGTCGGGTGACTTCTATCATGCATTTGGCTTGTCATGTCGAGGCGCCGTCCTCGCCAGGGTTGCGTGGTTGAGCCCTTCAGATTTGCGTTGCCGGGAATTTCACAAGATCCAACCATGCCCCCTAACCTCCCCTCCACCTGTTTCCCAACACATCAAGAACACCGTTCGGAGGAAACCAGGGGAGGGAGCTTGGGCACGGGCTGTTTCTCACGTTCCCGCGCAGGAGAGCTGTAACCGGCCGCCCGAGAAGGACTCCAGCATCAAGCTGGATTCTGACTTGCGCCCCAGCTTTTGCGCGGGCGATGTGGATGGACCAAATCCATTTCGCACCGCGAAATGAAACCATAGGATACCACTGTTCGCAGTTACAGGGAAATCATCATTTCAGGGTTTCCTAGGTGGTGCGAAATGGATTTCGTCCATCCACAGTAGCTTGGTGCGAAATACAGGGTCTCCGCAAGGATGCGCCCAGAAACAAACGTGTACATGTAGCCCTTTGATTCGGCTAAGACCATTTATGGTTTAAGGAACCCTGAATTAGCCCATCACATTCCACATTTTTCCAAAAGGACACCGAAAGGAGAGGGCTAAATGTTGACTTTGTCCAGACCCCTTCAATGGCACCCAGATAACAGGGACCGCGGGTGCCGTGCACTCCTAGAGTCCATTTAGCCCGCCCAAACCCTCAACTAGACAAAGTGGCCTGATAGCCTTATGTGTCCCTTTTGGATATGCTGAGCATCGGCTGAGCATCGCAATCCATTTGAAATGTGGCACACCCTTTTGCTGAAGCTTCCTTTTGAAGGCTATAGTTTAAAGGCTAGATTGGGACATATTGTGGATCCACAAAAGTCACATCCAACCCTTTTTCTAGATTAAGGGCTTGATGGAATCAACAGCCACTATGAGGGGTATATACCGAGTGAGTTGATAGCAAACAACAGGCTTCAAGTGAAGAGTCTAACTCCGATCATGATCCAGGCCAACGGTGTGTCAAGGGCGCATAATATGAAAAGAGCACTGAACATTTTTGCTGACAAACGGGCAACAGGGGGAAGAACACAAAAAGCGCAATCCCATGTGTTTTCTAGACTTAGTAAGGCCTTAAGGGCTTATCCTAGGCTTGTCCTAGGCTCATCCAGGGATAGCCCCGCCATAGCCTTCCTGCCACGGGGTCCATGATACTGCGGATGGATGAAATCCTGCACCACCTAAGAAACCCTGAAATGATGGTGTCTCGTGGTTGGTTAGGTGGTGCAGGATTTCGCCCCTCCACAGTACGGCAGAGTTGTAGCCACTGGAATCCATCGGGTGTTCTAAACAGGAGGCCCTGCTTGGAAGTGCTCGCGGGCCACGGTTCCAATTCGAGGCCCAATTTGAAATCTGCATCTAAACTCCCATTCGTTTTTCTACAGGGTTCCCCATACTGTGTCCCTGTGTGTGAATTGGATTTGGTCCATCGTTGGTCAGGTATCTCTTGGCCTGCGTGGTGTGGCACCCGGAAGCCTTCGCGGAGATGGAGAAGCTCGAGGAGCCAAAAGCCTCGAGGCGTTTCGCGTGGCATCCCCCAGCGATTTGGGTCATTTGGGGGGTGGCCTTGCGCGCGAAAGCCACGCGCCCGGGCCACAGGGAGGGATGGGGTGGGTTGGGGGAATGGGGTGGGTTGGGGGGGATGGGGTGGGTTGGGTGGGATGGTTGCGTTCACTCACAAGTGAACCTTGCAGACTGCGTTTGGGCGTGCTTTGTTGGTACGCTGGTTGAGGTGTTTTATGTAAAGGAAAACCACCATTCCGAATTCTGAAGAAAAGACAAGTCACCCATGTAGGGCTGCCGTCAAGACTATCAGTCAAGGTTTCACAGGGGTGAGTTCCAGGAAAGCAGCCCCTGGTTAAGGGAACTGGTTGACAGGTTCTTTTTCTCTCGGAAAAACGGTTTGGCTCTGTTTGTTTGAGGACCCAACAAAGAAGTCAAGAACCCCCAAAGAATGTGGATTTGCACTGTGGACTGCAGTTTTGAACCCAAGCAAACTGAGCAAAAGCACCCCCGCGTCCAAACCACCCAGACACTTGCCCATTTGCAATTGCGGCGGCTCTCGCAAAGCTCACCAAAAACAGGGTGCTACACCTTTGCTGGGAAATTGTCAAAAGCAGGAGTTCACATGGTTGTTGTTGTAGAACATTTTACATGTTTGCTTATTGTGGTTTAGTGAGAGATACCCACGGAACTGCTAGGTTTTTTTTTAGCTCCCCTTTCAACGTCAGCCAGGTTGATTTGCATGTCCCTGAAACACCTGTTGGTTGCCAATGTTGTAAATCCGGGGTCAACATTGCTGACCTACAGTCCTTTTTGTTGGTTGGTCGGTTCTGTCAACTTTGGGCGGCACAAGTTGGAACGACTGTATTTCGGAATAGCCCCAGATGAACATGGAACCCACCCTAGAACAAATTCTCCTGTTGGGCCAGGCAAATCAAATCTGTGTCCGAGTTGCTGTTCTGCAAGGTCGCCAGAATGCTTCTCACAGAAAGCAGCCACAAGAAGATCTTTGGAACATCGGGCAAAGACCCCCAAAACAGTGTCTGGCCATTTACTTGTCCGAAATTCCTTGAGCGTTACACCCCACCCCTCACCTCACCCACCCCCCACCCCTCACCTCACCCCCCACCCCTCACTCCACCTCACCCCCCCCCCCACCCCACCCCACCCCACCTCACCCCACCCACCCCACCCCACCCTAGCTCCTTCAACCGATGCCAGCCGAAACCAGCTAGGAGTTGGAGGACTCAGAGCTCGGGGCCCTCTGCTTCTTGGCCGAGCAAAAAAAAAGAACGGTCCAGGTGGAACGAGGATCGAAGGACTTCCCAAGCTCCTGGACTCGGGCCACTTTTTGGACTTGGACCATTTAGTGGTAAACAAAACAAGTAGTTCTTTCTGACTTGTTTGGGCCCATCCAAAAATCCACTCAGGAAGTCAGACACCCGGGATGTCTTCGAACTGCTCTTGGATCAAGTTTGTGTTTCGGTTTTTCGTTTGTTGGTTCTGCTCATTTTTAGGTTTGGGCTGCACAAAACGACAAGGTGTTTGCCGATGGTTGTGAAGATGTAGGTCCGTATCTTGGGAATCCAGTTCTCTTGGTGGTTCCGAGCGAATCGTCCGGTTCCTTAGCTTTTTAGTTGTGTTTGGTTGGGTTAGTGGTTGGGATTCCATGTAATCCACCATTCGTTCACTCTTGACAGGGGGTCATAACGGAAAGCCTATATCCAAGTCTTACTTCGGCTTTTGTATTAGTGCGAGGCTACCTTTTTTCAGAGTCTTTAACTGTAGTTGGACACCTGAACGGAACCAATCATGTTCGGTCCCCCATTTTCACTCTTTTTCTTGGGTGGGACGCCGCTAAACTGTGGCTGACATGTCCTTGTTGCATGTTCGGGGTGAGCTTCCCTTTGACAACCAGCCAAACCACACATTTTGTTGTTTATACTTTGTTTCAATGGGTTTCCCGTTCAATTCCCCCTTTTCACGTTTGTTTGGCTGAATTATCCAGCCAAGAAGGGGCGTCCTTGTCTTTTGGTGACTGAGGTTTGGGGAGAAAATTGAGGCTTATTGACAGAGCGGTCCATTTCCTTGTTGTTTGGGTGTTTTCCTTCTGCCACCTGTGCCACGCTGGTTTTTGAGTCGGGTCAAGACATCCAGTCGTTTCGTCGGCCCATGCATTGGAGGGATATACTACTCCGTTCAGTGCAGATCTTGAGGCTACTACACCTTTTTAGGTTGCCTGTTTTCCCCGGCAGTGACAGTTATTTGAGCCCGGGTTCTTTGGGGAGCCCTAGGTACCCTTCCCTAGTCATGGACATGCACAGGCCCATTAAGGGTTGAACATGTTTCTGAGCCTCTAAGAGACCAACCCCAACACTGGACAATGCGTACGCCCAGCTGCTATGGCTGGATCGTCCACTTGTTCTTTCCCCGCTCAGAAAAATGTTGAGTCCAAAAACCGGGGCAACAGCCAAGAAGTTTTTGTTCCCATTGGCCAGGCACAGTTGGTTTATTCTTCCAGCCCCGTAAAACAAACACACATAAACGCACAGCCAGTTCCAACCAACCCCCTATTGCAAACCAGAAAAACATGAACAGAGAACAAAAACAAGGCCACCGGGCACTCGAAAAACCAATCCGGCTCCTCCCCCTCCCCCGCTCCGGCGCCATGTCCCCCCCAGCGAGCGCAGGCTACAGCGCTGGGGGCGTCTGTGGCTGGACCTGCGACTCCGTGATGACCCCGGACCTCCTGGAGGGCTGCACACCCACGGGCCGCCCCTCGAAAGCGCGCGAATGGAAACGCGGGAAGTGGATGGGAGGGTGCTGAACGTCGGCGGGCGGTTTTGGGCGTTTTTTCCTCCCCCCCCCCCCCGCGAATTTGGTCCCAGTGCGTGTTTTTTTTTTTTTTTTTTTGCGAAATAGGGTCCCAGCGGGTGGGCCCTAAATTTGGGGTAGATGTGGTGGTGTTGCCTTGCTTGAAGAAAAACAACCACGCAAAGCACAGAGAACACACCCCAGTGGTTGTTTTGAACGACTGGGAAGTAACATGAAACTTGTTAGAAGGCGGTCCCCCAAAGAGTGAAACTCTAAGCAATCATTATTCACTGACTTTTTGGCACGTTCAAGCTTGCCAGAGTCAAGTTCAACATAGTTCATGTTGTCCGGCAACTGTTCAAGTTGTTTTTGCGTCTTGGCCATACTTGTTGTTTAGCTGCTAAGTTTAGCTTTCGATGCGACCAACCGTGCTGAACATGCAAAACTGCCTGGAGTTTGGCTGCGAGGCTTGCAAAAGTGGCACATGTGTGAAACTGTTTGTGCAAAATGTGCCAACTGCAGAATGCAGGCGAGGTCACCGATCCCTTTGTGTGTACACCGGCGAACATCCAAGCAGATCTTTTGGGATCGGACATCCCCTATTTGAGGAATGGGAAGTTGTGCGAGGGTCTCCCTTTTTGAAGGGAGCCCTAGCACAACCAAATGAGGTGTCCGGTTTTGGGGGACCCCACCCAAATAGTGGTGTTCCTTGTTCCTTTTGAGTTCCATTTGAGAACCATGAGCAGAAGGGGTACCAACTCAAAATAAGACGCGCTCACGCCTCCCCCCACCTCCCCCCCCCTCCCCCCCCCTCCCCCCACCTCCCCCACCTCCCCCCACCTCCCCCCACCTCCCCACCTCCCCCACCTCCCCCCACCTCCCTTCCCCACACCGCGCCTTCCCCCCCCCACCCCCCCCCCCCCGCCGGTTTCGGGCCTTGGAGAGCCCGAGGCATCGAGATGACGAGGACCTCTGTGGCCGGCCGGGAGATCCAGGGCGCGGACTTTCAGGCGCTGCACGTCGGGTCACATCGGCGGGTCGGCTCGGCCCAGGAGTCCCAGAGACTCAGTCGGGCGTGCTTGCGTTTTGTTTTTTCAACTTGTTGCCCCAAACAGCTTTGAGAGAGGCAAGTTTAGTGTTCTGTGCTAAACTTGTTTCCGCCTCTTTTTTTTCTTGTGCTTCTCTTGGGAGAGAGGGAGGAGACTTTTTCGATAAGGGGGAGAAGGCAACCCTTTGAAATCAACCGACTTCGCATCCTCGGTGGTTTTGTTTTTTCCCCCAGAAGCCATTTTGGGTGTTATCGAGCCCGGATAGGCTCGATCGGGGATCGGGGATTCGGGGATTGGGACAGCTTTTAGCCAGGGTTCCGGAGATTCCGGAGATTCAGTTCCAGGAATTCCGAGGCTTTTCGGGGCTACCCTTTGGGCTTGTTCAACGTTTTTTTTGGAGGGAGGAAACCTTTGCAACCAACCACCGACCCAGAATCTCATGTCCTTCTTCTCCCCATGGCCGCTGGGTGTTTGGGTTTTTGTAGGTCCATGGCCTTTATTTAACTGTATGTCGGGGCTATTTCCCTGTCAGCAGGGCATGGGGGGGGCCCCTCTGAGCCAACCCCTACAGTTTCCCTTCCCCTCCCAGTTCATTCCCGAAATTCATGGCCTACTGACCCAGCGAGTTGGGTATAGGGGGGCGGGGGGGCGACAGAGTATTTTGGGGACTCACCCCCGGAATTGGTGGATTCTTAGGGTCGAAGGAGGCTGGTTCCCCCCAAAAGCGAAGGATTGGGGATGTCACCTTTTCGAGGGCCTGAGTCTCCATAATCAGTTTTAGACTTAGCCAGTGCTTCCATTATAGTGGGTAACCAGGCATGGCTACCTCTACTTTCTGCGTCATGGGATCCCCTAGTTACCTGCTATAGTGGTAACTGGGAGCACTGGGTGAACCATGAAGCAGAATCTGAAGATGTGTTTACTTGCTGCACTCAGAGTTGCACATGTTGGGGGCCTGGGCTCGCTCCAAGCTCCTGGTCTTTGGTTACTTTTTGGGATATGGCTGTGGGTCAGAACCAATGGTACCAGGACCATTTTGGGGTAGCTGCACCACCCATTATAGTCTATTTTAGTGGGGATTGGGATGTTCACTGGGGGTACGGGCTTCTGACCCATGGCCATGTGGTATGTAAAGCATTTCGGCTGTTTGCCAGTCTACAAAAGAAACTGAGCTGGTTGGCATGAAACCTAAGGGGCGAATAACAAAACTGATGCAACTATGTAGTTTGGCCTACAGCCTGTCCGCACCCGTCAGCAAAACTCCAAAGGCGTCCTCTTCGAGTCCATGCATTCCATGCACAAACCTTCTTTCAAGCAGCTGGCAACGCTGTTGCTTTCCCAAAATGCACCTCAACAAAGCCTCTTGCGGGACTGGTGCTTTCCCAAAATGTATCCAAACCAATCCACAAGAGACCGATTTCAAGACCCAAGGAAAACCTCCCCCAGTTCTCCACCGGTTGCGCCATGACTTCAGCCTAACAACGGGATCCGGCGGCACGGCCAGGGCAGCGTGGAGATGAAGGAGTGCGATAGCCTCACGGGGCCCTGCGAGACCTCCACGGAGGGCTTCAGGCGCCTTTTCCGGAGGGGGAAAAACGACACGAAGCGGCGCTTGATTTGCAGGGCGTTTTGTTTGTTTGTTTTTTTTGCCCGGGTGGCTGTTTTGGTGTTGGAGTTGGAACGCCCCTTTTGGTTGGGTTTTAAGGGGGACACCGGAATCTTTTAAGGGGTCTCGAAAGGACACACCCATATTTCCCTTGAGTCGGATTAAAAATGACCTTTCGGGCCAGCCACATTTAGATAAGTCTCTTCTTGGGGTGACGCTTGAGGTGAAATACAGGGAGCCCTTTTTCGGGTAGCTTTCGGGTGGGTTTGGGTGTGTATCGTTCTTTTTTGGGTGGGGTCCAAATTGAACAGTTCCCCAAGTTCCAGCTGATTTGAGGATCCTCTTTCTTTGTAAATCAGTTTGTTTTGTTTTGTTAGATGCATCCTTTATTGGACCATGTGTCCACGCAAAAAAGAAAGGAGGATTACTCTGCTTCTGGGCAAATTATAACGAGCGCACCCAGGTGAGAACCTGCTTGTTCAGAGGGAGGACATGGTCACGTTTGTTTTTGGTTAACTCCTGGTCGTTGCTGAGTTTGGTTGTTTTTCTGTTTGTTTGCAAGGTACATCAAAAGGGGGGCACCCACCATGGTTATGGAGCATTCACTGCAGCACTTGTTTGTTGAATGTTCCAGACGACTTACCCCTCCTCCCACGAACATAGCAACTGAGACAAGATACCATCAAGAGGAAAACCATCTTCCAGGTCCCTCCCACAGTTGCTATGTTTGTTGGAGGGAGGGTAAACAAATGGAGAATTGCCAAGGTCTCCATTCAGCATGAGGTGCCTCGCTCAACAGCCGAGGCAGTGGAAATGCCACAAGTGCCTTTGGGATCCGCGTACGGAGGACGACATGCGACGTCTGGAGGAAGGCCGCCTTGCTTGATGTGAAGCCATGTGAATGACAAGCTTCTCAGATGGGTGATTCAAGTTGGCCCCTACACACCAACATGGGTTTGTACATTATCTAATTTAGTTTCGCAACACGTACATGTATCCCTTGCAACTTTGCCCTTGAACTAACTGATGGTAGAACTGATTAAAGTCTTAGGGTTGGGGCTGACAACTGACCGAGTATACAACATATACTTATTTGTTTGGTTGTTTATTTGTTTATCAATTTGATTTAACTATTTGATCTAATCAGAAAGCGACGCTTGCCAATTTCGCGCATGGCCTTCTGTTTCTTTCAGGAACCTCCAACATGGTTTTTGGTTTTCCTTTTTCCCTTTTAAATGCCTTCATGGCCTCTCGTTTTGTAACTGAATGTCAGATTTTCCTTCTTGGTTTCCCTTTGAATACCAACCCCAAAAAGGGTCGCCTCACTACCCCCGCCGCAGGCAGCGACCTCTCGGATGGCCGGCGTTTGCAGATCCCGGGGCTCGGCGGGATCCCGGGCATGGGCGGCGTCCCGGGCCTCTTCGCGGGGGACGACGGGAGCCTTGACGATGGGAAGCTGCGCAGGAGGTTTCGAGGTTTGAGTCACTTCCTGAGTTCCGTTTCGGACGTTGTTGTACTTTTCGGGCTACTCAGGAAATGATTTCAACTTGATCCCAGTTGGGGTATGTTTATATATAGGGTATTCTTGCCTCTTAAAAACACAACTTTTCAACTTTTTGGGTAACATGGGCTATATGTTTGTAAAAGATTAACTTCCCCAAGGCTTGGAGTTTTAAGGGGTAAGTATTTGCGGGGTGTACAATAAGTGGTCAGCAGCCCAATAAATTATTCTCGACTGGGGGCCCCGAATCTCCGGAGGAACAAGGGTCAAAATTGGGGTGTGACCTGTGAGGATACCCTCTCTTTGGTGCATTTTGCTTGGCTGTTAGGACTTTAACTTTTAGCCAACTAATGGGTTTTCCGTACTAAACCACTAAAAGTTAGTCACTTTTAGCAGGGGAGCAGAAAGCAACCGAGCTCTTTGGAGTTGCTTGAGAGGGAAACCAAAGGGAAAACGCGGCACTTTGGGGGTGTCCGGGTTCGGCCCCCGGTTCCATGCTCACCATGATGTAGTCCTTCACTTGGGGATCATTTGTTCAGCTTTTGCGATTGTAACCTCCTCAGATTGCATGGTCACTTTTTGGCATCCGATGTAACTCTTGCTTTCAGATGCCCATATTTGTGAGGACTGGCGACAGCGCCAGCAGCCCCAGCAGCGCAACCAGTGGATTGGGAGGCGTTTTTGGAACCACCCAGACGGACGGAGAGAAGGAAAAGGTGCCGGTGGTGCCTTGGAGTGAAACAAAAACACTCAAAAACAAAACACACACACACAAAAAAAAAAAAAACACACAGCCTGCTTCTCTATTGACATGTCAAATTGACTCACCTCCTAAGGTCCGTTTCGGAGGACAGAGTCACAATTTGGGTTTGGACCATTTTGGTGGCAAACACAAAGCTTGGAAATATTTTGGCCCACTCGGAGAGTGAGTTTGGTTGTTTGGTTTTGGGTTATCTTTCTTTTCAGTGGGGGCTACACAGAACAGCGTTTGTTATTCAACATGCCAAGGATTGGGAGTTCAGAAGTGTAGCCATTGTGTTTCCCTCACCTGTTTGCCCTCTTTTGTGCTTCTTGGGTGGGGGGTTGATTGCGTGGGTTCACCGTTCTTGGCATGTCCTTTATAGTTTAGACTTGGGTTGGCTTTGTTCCTGTTCAGTGGCTGGCTGCAAAACGCAAGGTGTTTTGCTCCCAACGATTGGACATAAATTGTTAGGTTGCAAGGTGGATAGACATATTCTGGGGGGTGATTCCCCATTCTTTTCAACCATCGTTCCTTTCAAAAACCATGGGGTTTTTGATGGTTCCCTGAAAAGAAGGATCCCTGGAAAGAATGGGGAAGGTACAACTAGAAATATGTGTTGAAGGCCAGGCTTTCCAGTATTCAGCTTCGCTCTGATTGGTGGTTTGGATTGTTGGTTTGGATTGGTTAGGGCATGCACCCTCTACAAAAGCCAGGGGTTGGAATCCAAACCACCAATCCAAACCACCCACCAAAGGGTTATCTGAGATAGGTGTGAAGGGAAACCCAGCCATGATAAGGAACAACCGCCTCTCTTCTTTTTTTTGGGGGGGGGCTAAGTTTTTGTTGACATACCGCATAGCCCTTTACCGGCCCTTTTGGAAGGGGACTAAACCGTGGTCCGGCGCCTCGAGAACCCCAACCCTCGTGGGATCTTTAGACTTGGATGTTTCCCACTAACATGAAATATCCCTTGGAAACCCTTGAAATGAAATACCCTTGGAAGCCCACTTTTTGATGTTTCCGAGCCATTCCCTTTGAAGGTAGCAGGTCGGATCAGCCAATTCCAATTCCAACTTTCTGTGGGTGACCAACTGCCCGGGGCCTTGCGGGGCAAAGCCTCACTTGGATGTGCGTTGCCCTGTCGGGCAACAGGTTCTTTGACTCTTGCTTCATGTCTGTTTGGTATCCAGGGGAAATCAACCGTGAATGGAGAAAAACCTTTGATTTTGGGCAAATCCAGTGACTGACTAAGCAAAACAAGTTCAGCTGCTTACTCTCTGAGTTCGTGGGCTTGGAACTTGGGCTTGGACCATTTCAGACAAGTTTGAACTGTTTTCGGCCAGTCCACTCGATCGGAAGTGAGGATGGCCTTTACACGTTGATCTTTAAGCATGCTCGTGTTGGACATGGGCATCCCTACCAACATCTACCAACCATGGCGATGCGCCAAGCTCACTCCCAAGGATTCCACCTCCCAACCCAAAGCGCTGAAGCCCAACCAAAACAACAACTAAACTTCCTTTTGCTGAAATGAAGATGTGTTTTTTTCTTTTCCCCTGTTGGTTTCAAAGGGGATCTGTCACATATTGTTTGTATTTTTCACGGGGGCGAACAAGCAAATCAAAGTATGTCATATCTTCATTGAGCCCTCCCCCCTTTTAGAGGAATGGTTAGACTTTGGCCCAGCCAGGTTTCTTCTCTGACTTTGTCGGAACAGAGTCTGAACCTCGGATTGTTGGAGGTCTTGGGCCAAAGGAAGATGGTGGGACTCTGAGAGGTAGAACCACCAAACTCCCTCAACATCCTTCCAAATCCACCCAAAACCTGTCCAAATCCACCAAAATCCACCAAAAAGATCCACTAAAATCCACCAAAATCCAGAAGGCTTCTGGCCCAGCGAGGTGTACTCTTCCCTGCCTCGGGTGCGGGTGTCTCTGAGCAACGTGACCATGCCCTGGGGCACCGAAGTCTTCAGCCAGCCCAGGATCTTCATGCTGGAGCCGCTTGGCCGGCAGGTGTCTCCAATGGGATTCGGAGCTCCATGTGTTTGGGACGGGTTCGTTAACTTGACTGCTATTGGGTAACGGATCTTCAGACTTTAACTTTTTGGTTGAAATCAAATTGGGTTTTTCACTAAACCCCCAAACAGTTATTCACTTTTTGCAGGGGGGTCAACAGCAATCAAGCTAAATGAAGCCCTAAAAACCGACAAATTGACCGAGAGGGTATCAATTTTGAGAATCTTGTGGACGGGTTGATTAGGATTCGGACCTTCCATGGATGGTTTTAGGAACTCAAGGGGCAATGGGGGAATTGGTCCCAAAGTTTATGTGAGAAAGAAGCACCTCAAAAATAGGAGCTGCTCTTAGGCTCCTAGGTTTCCAACACCCTGTTGTGTTGTGGGTGGGGGGGGGCTGTTTGGAGGCAAGCCCCAGTGGTGCAGTACACGACGAATTATAGCAGGGAACCACCTCAAAGTGGTTGGTGGATGTGAATCACTCCTAAATGATGGCCAAAGGGTAGCATCATTCCCATCATGGAAGGTTACCGAGGGGTTTGGAGGACAAAAGCTTTCCTTTGGGGAAGACCCCTGTCTACCCACTTCCATCATTGGAAAGAGGGTACACAAGACCTCTCCTTTTTTTGTTTGGGGGGGGATCTAGGCCAATACTCCGAGGGTGGTTTGGGTGTGTTTCTTTCAAGGTCCTCGCGCGCGAAGAGCCGGAAATGGCACAAGGTGTACAAGGACAGGAGGTTCCTCATTTTTTCTTTGAGCCACCCCTGTTGAATATTTTTTTGGGAAACCAAAAGGAGGTCTCACTCCGTGAGTGTCTGGACTTCAGTGACTTTTCAAGGACCAATTTGTTAAACCAACCGTTGGAGCTCGCTTTCCGTGTCTCCCGGTCGGATGTGAGAGGCGTGTTAGACCAGAGTTGCCTTCACTGTTTTTGGCATATCTTTTAGTTTTGAGTTGTTTGGTTCTAGTCATGTTTAGTGGGAGGTTGAAAAAACATGAAGCAAACGGTGTTTGGCTTACACAAGGGCTAGAAAGCAGTTCCCAAGACCACCATTGGCCTTTTCAAGAGATGGCTCTGCCTGGTTTTTGGCGGCCTCGGATTTCTCGGTTTTTCGGGTTGCACCCTCCCAAAAAGCAAGCATGGAGCGGTACAGGAACCTTCCAGCAACCGGTTCGGAGGCAGTGGATTTCTCGGCCAAGGGAAGAAACCTCAAAACCGGACGGGGGCGTTTTGGGGACCGGGATCCCCAAAATCGCTTCGGTGTTGCTTTTCGCAATCCCTGAGGTTCGTTTCGGACAAAAACGCCACATGGGCCGTTTTAGTGGCAACCAGTTCAGACTTGGGCCATTCCAGGTGTCCTTTCGTTTGCTTGACCATATTTCGTCTTTAAAAACGCCTGGTTTTTGAAGTTGGAATCTCTCACTGCGCTCTCACCGGTAAATACAAAGTTTGGACTTTTTTGTGGCCATCCACTCAGCAAGTGATCGGTTCAACCGTTTGCTTTTGTGCAGGGGGCTTACGCAAATGGGCATGTTTTTTGTTGTTTTTTTGGGGGGGGACACATTTTACATTTTTGTTTTTTGTGATTTAATGGGAAATCCCCACTGAACTGCTAGAATTTGATTTTTTGCTCCCGTTCCAACGTCAACCAAGTGGAGGCGTCCATGGTGTTTCAGAACCAGTTGACTCGCCCTGGGCAGGACAATTACGGAAAGCTGGAGCCCCCCGTGCCGGTGGGCCGCACGGCGAAATTTCCGGAGAGGCCTTCGGTCTTCCCAAGCCAGACTTGTATCCATGTGTGTGTGTGTGTGTTTTTGTTTAAACGGGATGTCTTGACGAATGCATTGAAAAGAAGGCCTGTGACGCTTGCGCGAAGACTGTGGATGCCCTAAGTATTCTAAGTGAACCAGCCACATCCAACCACAAAACCAAAAACAAGCGGAACAAGGTTGCTCCTGCTCCCTGGCAATATCCAGCAGGGAGCCTTGAATGTTGTCCATCCGAGGTTTGTAAAGCCCTGACATCGAATACACGCTCCCACAAACAAACATACAGCGGTAAGACCATTTTCCTTTTTCAGGGGACCCCTGTCCAGGTCCTATGTTTGTTTCGGAAGGTAACACTCGAACCGAACATGAACTGCATTCTCTGTAGTACTTCCAAAACCTGCGAGAAGAATTGGATAACTAGTCAAACCTACATCATAGATGTGCACTCGCGCAACCGCTAGATCGGTGAGCTCGCCATAAAATAGCCGGAAAGATGTTCGGCTCTCTGCCAAAAACCATGGTCCCTTTGATGGTGCATTGGTGACCGTTAAAGATACAACAAATCATACAAGCTGGTTTAGATAACTTATCTTGTAAGCCAAGTGGCTAGGATGCCCATCAATTTTTGAGGCCGGTACAGGTGCCATATCTTTCCCATATCAAGCCATCAGCGGTCGCTGTCAGTTTTTGGATCGGGCTTGCAACATGAGCCCAGAGGAGCCGGAATTCGGGGTGTGTCAACATCGAACATGGGTGCATCTTCTTTTCAGGGACCCTTCCAGCAAAATGATGGTGCCCTTTTGGCTTCCCTAGCACACAATCCGGGGGTTCCCGCGACAGCCAGATCCACATAGTGAACCCTTCTGGTTCGTTCCTGAGCTTGGAGCAGTTGAGTGGCAACTTATAGGCTTTATAAGAAGCTTTATAAGAAGCTTTATAAAAAGCTTTTAATGAGCTTTATAAGGAGCTTTGTATCAGGCTTTTTAAGAAGCTTTAAAAGAAGCTTTAAGAAACCTTTATAAGAAGCTTTATAAGAAGCTTTATAAGAAGCTTTATAAGGAGCTATATAAGGAGCTTTATAAGAAGCTTTATAAGAAGCTTTATAAGAACCAAGAAACTTGGACCGTGTTCAGAACCTTGGCTTTGGCCCTCTTGGGGAGCGTCGCTGTGTATAACACTCTACATCGTGGCCATCCTGGCCATCCTGACATTCCTCTTCGTCCCCCTCTTCCCGCCTTCTAATCTTTTGTAATGCATGCCGCTAGGACATGCTAGGACTTTCTTGGGCCAATCCACGCAAGCGGACCGGAAATCAGCTTCTCGGTCTCCCCTAACTTGGAAAACTCACAAAGATGGGTCTGTGTCAGAGTTAGAAGGGATCCCCCAACATGATCGTCCGGCCGGGTCCAAGTTGCCAATCGGCTCGTGGAAGTCTGTTGGCCGTCGGGGTCAAGTTTTAGTGGCTCGGTGCCAGGTGAAGACAACAAGCCCCTCATCAAGGACTGGCTGCCTCAAACCGGAGCCATACTGCGGGTGCACGAAATCCTGCACCACCTAAGGAACCCTTGTAAATACCAACGAATAATGCCTTTAAAGTCGACTACCCAAAAAGCGTGCCCTTTGCTCCCCATCCTTACCGTTTTCGATTCTGAATCCATGCGCCCCTTTCAACCAGCCAAGCAATCACTTGGGGCGCATTGGGACCAAAGGCTGTCCCACAACCCTTTTGTGGTTTCAGGGTTGGGGTCAGAACAAAACGAGTGGGTTTGTTTTGGTGCAAATGCTCTAATAAGTATGGCAGGATTGTTAACCCAAGCAAAAGGAAGTCCCTTAAAGGATGCATTTGGGCCAGTGAATTGCCCAGCTGATGTCCAGGATCCGAATCCTTGCCAAGGGATTGTTGGATGTCTCCTTGAAGGAGCTCTGAAACTTGCCTGATCAATTTCTGTACTTATTTTGTAGTGTTGCTTTCTAGGCACTCAGCAAGACCACCCCGAGTCCCCAAAGCTTTCAGCTGTTGGGGGAAAAAAGAACACAACAAAAGAAACCGAGCAAAGAAGAACAAAAAGTAGTTGCAGCTTGAGTTCTCCAACTATGGCTTTTGGAGGCAAGGACGAAAGCAACACACCCACCAATGGGCTCCCTTTCATAGGATCCAAAGCCCTCCCCTACCTTCACATCATCAGAAAAAGAGAGAGAGAGAGAGAGAGAGAGAGAGAGAGAGCGAGAGAGAGAGAGAGAGAGAGAGTCGTTGCAAGCTCCGGGCAGTCAAGTCCTGGGAACAAGGATGATTTCCAGCACCCAAACGGAAGCTCCCGGGTTCCTTGGTATATACCGATGCCAACTTGATTCAGTGGCTTTTTTTGCGGTTATCCCATCAAACTGGGGGTAGCTTCAGCTTCAGGGTACTGGGCACCATCCGGCAGGAGGAGGAGAGCAACTCCTGGGAGGAGGAGGTGCTGCCTGTGATGGACCCAGCAGCTTCGCCTAAGAATATGTTATATTTTCCCTGGTTGGTTTTAAAGAGAATCTATCACTACTGGAACAATTACTATTTCCGCCGGGCTTAAGCAAATGGAAGAGGATAATCCCAACCAACATGTGCGGATATTCTCCCCCCCCATATAGGCGGACCATCCGCCCATTTGGTTCTTTAATTGCTTTGAGGTAGATGCTTTTTGTACAAGGCTTTGATTTTGAGCCACCTGAGTTGTTCAATGACAAATCATTCCTGCATCCTTATGCCAGGTGGCAGTGGGTATATTTCGTCTAGTGGCGTCCCGCTGCGTGTCACATAATATGGGGAGGAGGGATCGCCGGGATCCCCTCATTTTGGACTACCTTGGGCTGCGGGAACTAATTTCACCGTTGGTAGCTCTTTAAATTGCGTGGTTTCGTCATTCAGTTCACTCGCGGCAAACCAGTCGATTTCGCCGGCATGCCGGAGGTTGGGAAGGCAATAGTAAGATTTGCCTCGGTGAGCCTCGCAACAAACTCCCTGAGTTAGGCATTTTCAGGTGGTTTTGGAGGTATGGATGCTTGGATACCACCAATAAGCTTGTAACATGGAAAAACACCAAGCAGGTTGCTCGTCAAACAGGGAACATGCGGAGCGTGCAAAGCGTCGAGGTTTATTCATGGGAGCAAACAAGCACATCCTTGCGCAGGTATGCAAACAAAGCACCGTCCATGCATGTACTTCAAACTGGTCAAATGGCTCTACTTTAAGGCGGCTATTCCAAGAACCCTGCCATCTTGTTGGCAGGATGTGTTGGCATGTGTGTGCTGCCGTGTGTTTCCTTTTTCGTGCTTAGCTTGTACTTGACTCCAACGTCTAGGTGCAAATTGAGGGGGCCACTCACTTCCTGGGTGGATTGACCCAAAACAGTCACCAAACTTGTTGGTTGCCGCTGACATGTCCAAAAGCTCAAAGAGTCACTAAAGTCCAGGAACTCATCAAGATAATTTCCAGGTATGTTTTTTTGGAAATATGGAGGCTTATCCGTTTTTCTATTGATAGCGCGGACCATTCCCAGAAATCCATGTACTCAAAAAATAACATTTGACACATTTGGAGGGAAAATGTGGGTATATTGCCGCCATTGATTTGGGATTGTTGTTGGTTGTATGTTTACATGCTTGGCGGGTTGCTTCTCTTTGTGGGGAACCAGCCAGACACATCGATTTTTGGATGACCTGAAAAGCATGCTTGTCTACTCTGTCAAAACCATCATGGCCCTAGGGTCCTTAGGGACTGTGGATGGACGAAATCCGTTCGCACCACCGAAGAAACCCTGGAATCATTCGATTTCCCTGTAAATACAAACAAAGCATTATGGTTTCAACCATTCATGGTTTCATTTGGTGTTGCGAAATGGATTTCGTCCATCCACACTAGGTACACATTATTATCAATCAGGTATCACAGCCAAATTCGCTCAAATTGCCACGGAAATGGAGCTTATTCACAACCTCTCGACGTCCTTCAGCCAGCCCCCATATCCATTTTATATCCTTTTTTGGTCGCATGGCTGGGCAAATAAGATCAATAGAAGCCAGAAAGAGGTCTCTGGAAAGCAGCTCCTTTACAAATCAAACAGCGCACACGCAGTGCAAACCAGTCGTTCAAGGAACTTGTGCCCCTTTTCGCCTAGCTGGTAGGTTCCTCACCTAGACATGTTTTTTTGGGAAAGGGTGTCCCTTCTTCTGCCAGAGCTTTTGGGCAGCTGTGAGGATCGGTTTAGTGTTCTTGTATGGGAAACGCATCCCCACGCCTTGCTGACAGAAACGGCCAGATCCCTACCACTCCCCCCCCCCTCCGGGGTATTCCTGGAGATTGTTTCTTAGATCAGCTTCGCTCTAATTGGTGGTGTGGATTTTTGGATTGGTGGTTTGACGATTAAGACGGGTTTCCCATTCACCCTCTAACAGGGGTTCAAATCCAAATCCAAACCACATCCAACCTACCAACTAAAGCTCCGCCCTGCTAAAAGCTTAACTTTCGTGGTTTGAATGGACAAAAACCCACCCAACCAACTAAAAACCTCTCTAAAACCCCTAAGTTGAGCTCGGAGGACAGGATTCGATGGCGTCTCTTCTTTTTTCCTTCCCAAAAAATGCAATAAACATAAAAACAAACAAAACCCCCCAAAAAAAAACAAGCACAACCACATCCCATGTTCCCCCGGGCGGGAGCGAATGAAACCGGAGGCAACGAAGCACGCCATGAAGCTGAACCAGCAGAACCGCCTGGAGGTGGACCCGGGCTGGTGCTTCGGGCGCCAGGGGCCCATGCATCCAACCAGAATTAGCTCCCCTTTTCGTGATTTTTTGTTTGTTTTCTTTTTTGTTTTTCTTTTTTTGACTTTTGGGGGTCCATTTTTGATTGTTTGTCCTTTTTCTTTTGTTTTGTGTTTAAATGTTAGTTTGCTTTTTTGGGGTCCAATTTGTTGTTTTCCACGAACCAGGCGAAAAAACAACATTTGTTTTTTCTGCTGGGCTCCTAGTTCCAGCCCAGGTATTTGGTGGCCTGCGCCGTCAATAGCAACTTTGCATCAGATCCGGTCGCGCTCGGTCGCGGTCGCTTGGAGGGGCGCCGGTCGGTCGGATGGGCGTCGGTCGTGTCGGATGGGCGTCGGGAGCCGGGGAGGATGGGGTGGGGTGCTGGACTACAAAAAGCTTCCCTTTGAAGAGCCCGGGGAGGGTCGAGCTACTTGGAGGGTGTCTATTGTTTTTGTTTTTCCCTTGTTGGAAATCGGAAGTTGGAGTCGTGCACTGGACATACTTGCTCATTCCAGGGGGTGAAAAAGCAAATGGAGGCTAGGGGAAGCTTCCAGGTCCATTCTTACCCCAGGGATCCGAATTTATTTCAGGAAACCAACAGAAACGCAGGGGAAGCAGCGATCGGTTCTTAAAATGAACAGAACAATGGTTGAAAAGAGTGGGGAATCAAGAGGAAGCGGGAAACACGGAGCTGTGGCGTCTGGTAGTGCAAGAAACCAGAGAAAAAACACGAACAGTTGTACAGGAAATTTGTGTCTTTGGTGGATGTTTGGATGAAACATGTTGGAGCTTCCATGTGCTGAAGGGAATATGTTGTACTTTCCCCAATCTCAGGCTCTTGAGGGGTGGCACAGTGAACGTCGACCCCTTAGAAAAGGAAGTTGTGCTGAAGTTGTTCTGCCAGAAGGGCGAAATGGGTCGTATATATCCATTTGCTTGAGAATATGTTTTCCTATTTCCCCAGTTGGCTTGTTAAAGGGAATCCATTGCTATGGGGCCTTGTTTTGGTTTTCAGGGGCCTCAAGCAAATGGAGGTGTACATGGAGTACATTCAGGGAGACCATTTCAGAGGTTTAAGCACCAGCGCACGGGGCCGCGGGATTGGGACGCTTCCCTCAGAGAAACCGCGCCTTTGGTTTCTTTGTGGGGACATGGAAGCATTGAGTCTGTTTGACATGGCAGGTCTTACAAACTGCAGGGATGCTTCCCTTGTTTCATTTCGGTTTCAGCGGACATCATCTACCAAAAAACTATTGGAATCCGCTTGGCTATGAATCGCACTCAGCCTTGGGTAGGTTGTTGCTTCCTTTAGACCCGATGGTCACATAGAAGGGGACCTTTTGGGCATGCGAAAGGGGAACTCGATGTTCGACCCTTGCATTTTTGCAATTTTTAAGGCTGATCCACCCTGATGGTAAGTCGAGTAAACCTCGGGGTGGATTCATTGATCGAGTCCGGTCCCAGGTAATTCATGCTGAACCCGGATGGAAGTAGAACCCGTCCCGGAACCGGGGGCAGAGTTGTCCCTCCAAAAGTGATGTTAGTCACTTTTTGGGGGCACACCACTTTAGTGATATAAACAACAGGTTCAGGTACCTTTTTTTCTGGATACTCCACTCAAAAAGTGAGTCACTCCCCCCTGACCTTTTTCGGGGGCACCGAGGAAGTGAGTACCCCCCCATTTCTGGGCGGTTCTTGGGGGCAGCGGAAAAAAAACGGCTTGGCCGCCTGGAGGTACTCTCTACGAGGGCTCCTTTGATCGATTCAAGCCCGGGCAGCAGGCGGCGCCGCCGCCCTTCAACGACCGCTGTGTGGCGGTGTCCGGGAGGCCGTTCCGTTGGGGCCACGGAAGAACCGTGGAAGACGCTCCAAGTGTTTGGCGATGTCTTCACTGTTTTTGGATCAAGCGGTTTGTGTGTTTTTTGCTTTTTGTTGGTTCTGGTCATTTTTAGGTGTCTGGCTGTTTGGTAAGGGATCTTTCCTTCAAAGGGTTCACCGCAAGGATATGCAGGGAATGAGGCCAAAACACCCTAACTAAGCTGTGTCTTCTGTTCTTGGATCAAGTTCTTGTTTGTTTGCATTGTGTTTGGTTCTGTTCATTTTTGGGCTCGGGATCTGCAACAAAAGCAGACAGCTTTTTGCCCAGCCATGCCAAGGGTTGTGAAGATTTTGGAACGGATCTTTCCTCTGGGGACAGCAGTTTGGGGGTAGTGGAATGAAACAGTTCGAGAGGGAAATGAGAAATGGAAGGACCCCCGAGAAAAACATCCCTGATTTGGTTTCCTTAAGGGAAGCCCCCAAACGGTTCATTCCCAACACCCTGACTCGGTCATCCATCCACAAATTACTGAGCACCAGCAAGTTTATGGCTATTTGGTTACGGATCTTTGGACCTTACCTGTTTTTTAGAAAGGTAGAGCAGGGTGGGGACTTTGCAAATGTTACTGCGCGCAAAATGCCCACAGGATTCAGCCAGTCACCATTCCACCAGAGGGAAACCCGTACTAATGAAGGGTCCTTGCGGCTCAATTTCCGGTTTGGGACTGTAGAAACGCTGTTCCATTGAGTGCGTTTGACTTTGTTTGGTTACCAAGGTCACAAACCGGTGGCTTCCCTTTAACCTGCCACTTCTGGGGGTGACTTTGGTACTAGTAGAATAGTGGGTGGTCCAGGATTCCTGAACCCCGGATGCCATTTGTTGAACCATTCCCTTCAACCTACCACCTGTCGAGGATTCCCGAACCCGTGATGCCAAACTCCAGTGCCAGGATTCCTGAACCCCAGACGCCATTTGTTTAAAACAACCCATTACCCAGAGTCTCCATTACGCAGAGTCTCCTGGGGGTTTCAATGGAAGACGACCCCCCCATTAGACACCCCAAAGGTGGTGGGTTCCGGGTAGAGGGAACTGAGTCACTTTTGCTTGACCAACCCCCCCCCCCCATAAATGCCTGTGACGCCTCCTCCCTACCTGTTTGCCTGGCAGATGTGCCTACGCCTGCCAGAGCGAGCAGCGTGCCATGACGAACTGCACGGAGCCTTGGCCGTATTCGTCGCAAAAAAAACCGGGGGCCCTGGTCTCAATGGCGTACCTTCAAAAGGACACCAGCTGGGATTTCCGCAAAAAAAAAGTTGGAAAGGTCTCGTACATTGTTAAAAGGTGGGATTTCCGTAAAAAGTTTGAAAAGTCCCTTGTGGACTTACAAAAAATCCAGCAAGAACCGGTTGATTTCCTTTAGGAGGTCCCCGTGTTGGCTAGCTTCGATTGCCCAGCTTCTCACTCCCCGTCCTAGTCCTTAGGCCCTTAGGCCTCGAGAGGCCTCGATAAGGATTGGGCTTGTTTGGGCACTCGGGAAGTGACACCCTTATCCTTTTTCGTTCTGCATACTGATCTGCATCCACCAATTGGATGAGAGATGCTATCCCAACATTGGGTTTTCTCCTAAGGGTTGTTTGTTCTTAAATGGGACAGCTTGCCTCTTCAGCCACCAGCGCAGGGGTTGATTCCAACTTGTCAGCCTTCGCTTTTTGATATCCAATTGCCGCGTTTCGCGGGTTACCGGAGGTTTTCAAGAAAGAAGGGTTGGTGGTGCGGAGGTGTTCCAGGGTGGTTTCCAGTTAAACTCTGACACAAGAACAGTTTCGGGGTTGAAGCCACCAACCCCACCAACTTTGGGTCAGAATGGAACGGAAAGAATGGAACGGGAAGGCACCCATGTGAGGTCAAAGTGGATTAGAAAGGCCATAGCATGCCAGCTCCACCCACCAACCACGAGTAGGACAGGGAAGGCACCCCCACCACTCGCAAAACCCACCGGCGCATGGCCAAGGTCCTCGTGCTATGAGGCCGTGAAGCCCATGTTTGGTTTGGTGTTCTTAAGCTTCCGCTCTAAGGGCTTACGAAGGCTCCCTGGATCGCCAGTTTCTCTCTTTTTTTCTTTCTCCATGCACGTGTCCCCGAAAAACCCAGCAACGGGAACGGAAAAAAAGCAGCCACTTGGCTATTAGGTCGTCTTGTTTTTGGAGTTGGTCCTTTCTTTGGTGGCTTTAAAGGGGCACCAGCAGGAAGATGTCAAGTTTTCGGGGGTCCCCTGCAAAAAACACACGCGGCACACTGAAATGACATTTGGGCGGGGGGATCAGCCCTGGCATTTCCAGTTCCAGAGGAAGAGGCAGTTGGGTGAAAGTAGCCTGACTGCTATTGGGCAACGGATCTTTAGACTCTAGACTTTTCAGTTGAAATCAAGTTGGGTTTTCCACCAAACCCCCAAAAGTGTAAAACACTTTTTGCAGGGGGGTCGTTGCAGCAACCAAGGGGGCGTTGTTTTTTTGTTTTGTTTTTTATATGTTGGTTCAGTCAGCCCCTTTACTAACCCACATGCGTGTTTTTCAAAGGAGTCCGCTTCCAAGCTTTCACACGCGTTTCGCAGGATGGGTTTATCAATCAGACGGCCCTGGTGGGGGATGTGGCTTACGAGAAGAACCAGACGGCGCCGGTGTGGCTCTTCTGCTACGTCCTTCTGGTGGCTCAGCGGAAGTTTTCCCTGTGGTGTTTCGCCGTGTTGTTACTTTGTTTTTGTCCACTTCTCCTTTTGTTTCACTTCGTGTTTTGCCTTTGTGTGCTTAACTTTTTGGTACTTTATCTTCATGTCCCTTCCTTCTTGTTTCCTTCCTCGGTCGCTGCCTTGTTGCTTCCTTCTGGAGTGATCTGGGTGTGTCTGAAATACCAGGGGAACGCCTAAGTGTTGTTCCTTTAGGTCGGGCTCCCTTCAAAACAGCTCACTCCCCGAGTTTGGGGGAGACCATTCTGGTGCTAAGCCTGGTAAGCAAAGAAGTTCAGACTTCTTTGGGCCAATCCACTCAAGTTGCTTGAAAGCCGTAAAATCGGTGGATTCCCTCAACAAACCGGAGACACCCATTTGGATTCGGCCGTTTTACGCCTCCGATTCGACTCCGCACTCGCAAAACGAGTGAGGTGGGCTTCGGGGTGAAGGCGGTGATGCTGTGCCCCGGAGTCTTCTCCCCATATCCCCACTTCCGAAGGTACGACCCGGAGCCCCTCGTCACGCAAAAAGCCGCTTCTGCACGCATGAGGCGGAGGAAACTGTGGATCCTATTTTTTGCTTTTGTCGTTGGACCGCAACAGTTTTTGGTGGATTTGAAAGGACATCTCTCCGAAAGGAAACCGATCAGTTTGGAAGTTCCCGTAATTTGGAGACAATCACGTTTGTCACATGAGCGCAGCTTGGTGGCTATGGCGGGCAGATGCCCGAAGATTTGCATATCCTTTGATGGTGAGCAGTGCCGGTGGAAATGCATGTGGGTTGTTGCTAATTTCCGGAAATATCGAAATTCGTGGATAGACTTTGGTCCCATGTAAATGAACCCAAGAAAGGTACCCTGTAAAATAGACACACCCATGTTCCACACAAGTTGAAGTTAGGGTACCTAGCGTACCCCAAATGCTTTTGCCTTCAAGCCATGGTTATAAAGGCGCCAACCCCCGTTACCCCAGTTATAAACATCCAAGTAGCAGACAAGAAGGGACAACCGTTTCTGTTTCTAAATGGGCAACCACCAAAATGGGATGGTGTCGCTTCTCAAAACGGGTACCAACTGAACAGAAAGATGGACCCATGTTCCAAAGAAGTTCAAGGCAGTCTGGGTCCTCTTGTAAAAGCCTAGTTGGTGGTTTTTTGTGGGACGTATCCTTTCCTTGCTGGCTAAGCCAGCCATCCGGTTCCTTAGCTTTTTTAGCCTTTCAGTGTTTAGTGGTGGGATTTCCCGTTTTTTCACCCACTAAAAGTGAGACACGGAAAGTTTGAGCGGGGGATCGGGATCGGAACGAGCGCGGCCCAGTTTCAAGAGCCCAGGCTCACGGCCAATCTGCGGTACATCATCGTCACGGTGCCCTCCGCCGGAGAGAACAAGTGCACCTCGGAAATGGGAAGACGGAACGGCGGAAGGGGGGGGTGAGGAAGGGAGGGGCTGGGTGGGGGGGGGTGGGGGGTGGGGTTGATACTTCTTTCTTTTTTCTTTTGGGGCGGGGGGAAGGGGGGGAGGGTCTGAAAAGGAACCGCCGGGGGTGGGTTTGTCTTTTTTTTTTTTTGGGGGGGGGCGGGAAGGGGCGGGGGAAGGAGGGAAGGGGTACTCAGGTCAGGTCATTATCTTCACTCTTGGAAGGTTTTCCTCTTTTTGTTTAAGCTTGTTACTTCTGTTTATTTTCCAGCAGGCTGCAAAAACGATCCGTTTTTTGCCAAGCCACACCAAGTGGAAAGTTAGGTTGACTGTTTCTGCTGTTGTCCGAGCACCCGAAATGAGGATGGATCATTTCCGGGCTCCCCCACTGTGGATCCACCCAGATGGCGAGCCAGCGGAGGTGGTCCAGTTAAGCCCAGTCTTCCATTTTCACCCTAACTAGGGTTACCATCTCAAAGTTGCACACAAAAGCAGCCCTCTCAGAGGTCCTTATTTTTCCCTTGGCGGGTGGCTCGAGCATCACCTATTGGGCTGATATGTTTCAAAGGGAGTACAAGGAATTCCTTACGGATCTTCAGCTCACTCTGAAATCATTTGGGTCGATTTTTTCCAGACCCGCTCTTCTGGGATGTCTTTTCAAGTTTTGCATTTTAAGATTTACTGGATATGAACCAGAGTCAATCATATGGTTCGAGCTTAAGGGGCACCAGCTGAGGTAGCGTTACTCTTAAGAAACCAGCTGCAGGAATTTCTGCAAGAACTCCGTGAGTTCGGGGGGATTTTGGCACATGTCAAGAAGTTCCGGTAGCCATGGCCGGATTCTAGCCGGATTCTATGAGTTGCAGTCGCTGTTGTTCGGCGGCACCCCTTTTTAACCCTTGTTGTCTTGACTGCTATTGGGTTGGATCTTTAGACTTTAACTTTTGGGGAAATCAAGGGTTTTCGACTAAACCCCAAAAGGCTTAAACTTTTTGCAGGGGGTCAACAGCAACCAAGTTGTTGGCTACCCCCAAAAACAGGGGTTTCCCCTTTTTCTACATTTTTTTGCTGTTGTTGCTGTCTGTCCCAAAAAAAAACAACGAGTGGTCCCCTTTTGCCACCCCAGGGCCAAGCGGTGGCAACCTGTTTTTTTTCCCCGACCCCAGGGCGTGAGCTCCCGAGCCGAGGCACGGTGCTGCGGAACATCGTGGGGGCGGTCGGGTGCATGCCGAAGGCGGGGCGCGGGTCGCAAAAACGTCCCACGAAACGCGCGGCGCGCGGCGCGCTGGCGCGCGCGCGCTGGGCAAAACATTTGCTGGTTGTCTTCTTTTGCTCGGCATTTCCTTGTTGTCTTCTTTTTTTTGGATGGGGCGGCCTCTTAATGCACTCCCGAACTGTCCTTGGTCTTCTTTCTTGGATGAGCCGCGAAAAAAGCCAAGGCCGAAGAAGGGGGCGACCGGTTTGTTTCCCCGAATCACGGGGTTTTTCGGGGGTACCTGGTAATTACCCAGTTGGTCTTCGTTCTTTTGGATGAGGGCCCCGAAATCAACTGCCGGAGGGTGCCACCCGTTTTTTTCCCTCCGAGTCAGTGTTTGTTTTGGGGAATTTCCTGGTAACATTTCAGCGTGGGTTAAAGGAAGCCCAGGAAAGCGGCATGGACTTGTCTGGGGCTCATGGGGTTCCCTTTCGACACATGCCTGACTGGAGCTGTGGTTCCATGCAAAAGGAGCTAGGTCCCTTGATTTTTGGTTGGGGGATTCGGTTCCCCTACTAAAACTCGGTTGTTCAGTGGCACCCTTTTTCCATTTTTTGGTGGCCCCACAAAAAATGGTCTTCCCCAAAAAGGGTTCCCTTTTTTTCCACGGTCACTGAACAACTGAGAAAATAGGCTACAGAAAAAAAGCCGGCTACCCTTATTCCAGCTTCTCTACTGGAGGACCTAGTCCTGGTTCATTTTTGGAAGCCCACTTTCTACAAGGGCAGCACTCTTCACCCGGAGGTAAGGGCATACCCTCCCTTAGTCATGGACAGGCTTAGAAGACCACTATCTTCTAAGCCCTGCCCACTTTCATTGGAAAGAAGGTATTATGTTTAAGCTTTGGTTTTAAGCGAAAGCCCACTCATTTCCATCGCAACCTGCATGTTTATCCTTTACCCAAATGAATTTGGTAGCAACAATGTGCCTTGTCAAGCCTTGTGTCCAACATTGTGGACACCGTTTGAATATGGTAGTCAGTCTTCTGCTTGCTGATTTTGAGAATTCCCTTACTTCCATTTGCTTATGAATATTGTTTATTTTCCCTTGTTAATTTAAAGTGAACCTATCGCTACTGGAAGTATGCGTTTCCATGCCTCGAAAACGCAAATGGAAGCTTGTGAATCTATCAACATGATTTTGACATATATCCTTCTACCAGATTTTGAGGACTCCCCCCAAGCAATATACGAGGGGTTCCCAGAACCCCCCAGAAAACAAAGAGAGACTTTATGCCAAAAATCAGTAAATGAAACGGGTTCTTTCAATAACCCTCTAAGCAGGTGGTTTTGGGATGTATCCTTCTACCAGACCCGGGACGTATCCTCGAGCCCTGTTTCGGCTTCAGGACTGCCGCTGCCGGTACCACGTGGCCTTTGTGGACGAGGGCCACCGAGCAGAGCAGAAGGCGCGAGCGTTGTCCCCCAGTAGTGCCCTGTGAACCCCTACCCTACAAAATGGACTACAGAACAAAGGGTCCCATTCTAACCTCTTTGCTGGAGGACCTAGCTTGATCCTGTGGATAGAGCTTAGTTGTCCCAGCTTACAGTTTTATGCCCCCAAAGAGTGGACCTGGAAATGGTCCCGCCCTTTTTTGACCCTGAGCCTGTTTGTCGCTAGCCCCTATTGGGATTGGGGGCGCCCCTACTGTGGATGGTTGCGAAGTCCCGAAGTCCCTTCGCACCACACAATGAAACCAGGGTTTCTTAATCGGTGCAGGGATTTGTTCCATGCCAAGTTTGTTTGGGTCTTTAAGTGTTTGATTCACGACCAACAGTCCCTAACCTGCACGCCCCTTTAAGAACCTCCAAGTTGCATCACAATACCCTCAGGCAAGTGAACTGGTGCCTGTGTCATTTCTTGATTGCACGTTTATGTGGATCCTATCTTGGCTATTGTTCGGTTTGATCTTTAGACGTTTTTTTCCTTATGGGAAAACAGTGATGCTTCCCAGCAAGCAGCCGCAAGCTGAAGTTTTTTTTGCAGAAGGGGCAATGGCCACCAAGCCTACCCAGGTCCCCCAGTAGTGCCCTTTTACCCTTTTTTTGGGGGGAGGGTTCCCCTACTAAAATAGACTGCAGACAAAAGTTTTGTACCCTTATTCTACCTCTCTACTGGAGGACCTAGCTGCTGAGCGGGGGGGGGGAGGTTGGTTGGGACGTTTTTGGGACAGGTGATGTTCATGAAGCTTGCGGCGGTCATCGAGCGCATCCCCAACTTCGGGGGCATCTCCTACGAGGAGACTGCGTGCGGGCGGGCGGCGAGAGGGTCAGACATGAGTAGGTTTCCTTGGTTGCTCCCAGCTATCCCCTTAGCTTTTTAGAAAAAAGCGGGGGATCTGAGGACAGCTCAGGTTCTTTGAGGGTCCCACTTCGACACGTTCATGGGGACTGTATACTTTTGGGGGAAGTTTATTTTAGTGGCAAATAGCAAGTGTGGACTTGTTTTGGCCAAGGCATGAGGGGTGGGGTTGCATTAACAGGAAGTCAAAAGTGGAAAAAGTCCCTTTTGGGTTTTAGAGGCTGGTTCCCTTTACCTACCACACTTGTAAATTGATCCATTGGGCCAGGCAACCGTCAACTCGGCTTGGTTTCCCCCCTCTTCAGGAACCATTTGTTTACTTTGGGGCAAGGGACTGTAGTTGGGACGGCTGCATATGCACACCACCTCCGACTCGGGGCAAGCACGCAATTGGTGGTGTAAATTTGGATTGAGAAACCACCAACCCGGAACACCAAACTAAACACCAGCCCCTAGCCACCAATTGTGAAGCTGCTCCGTTGGTTTCCTGGTTATCCCTCTAGCTGGTTTCCCACTGCGTAAAATCCCGTCCTGAGTTCCTCGACTCGACTCACGTTTTGGGAAGGCCTTGTGAGAGGAGCAGTTGGCTTTCGCTTTTGGGGAGGACGGAAATCTGGAAGACCAAACTTCCTGTTCTTTTTGGGCACAAACACATGGCCATGCGATGTGGGGTGTTGTGGGGCAAGCAAATGTGTGATACAGCTTGGGCCTTGGGTTGGATCTTTAGACATTTATTTTTAGGAAATCAAGAGTGTTCCATTGAACCCAAAACCAGTTAAGCTTTCTTTGGCCCTTTTTCAGAGGGGTCAAGGTTGACAGCGTCAACAGCAACCAAGTGTTGTGGCCAACCCACTTGGTCCAGACCACAGGCATATGCACAGGGGTTCTCCCTGTAGGAGAACGTGAGTCGCTTCTTCCAGATCTGGGTGGAAGACACCAAGTGCCTCGGCGTGGTGCGGTGACTCGCCCATCCCCGAATCACCAGGAAAGGAGGGCCCACATCTCGTCAGGGGGATGCTTTTGCATAGAACTCACGGGTGGACACCTAGAGTGCACCAAAAAACCAATACCGCAAAAGAAGCAACTTGCAACATAGACCCGTTCAGTGTCCGTGAGGGGCCCTCATCAATTCCAAGTAAGGGCTGGGGATAAATGGTAAGCTTTTCCTTTTCCTGGGACCCAGCAGCTCCGGAGGTTTCCGGAAGAAAAGCGGCGTTAGTTGAGATTTCAATTCCTAGGACTTTGGTTTACTTGCTGGTGCGATAGGTAGGGAATGTGGAAATGAACCAGGGATTCCCTTAAAGGAAACCACCAGTCGAGTCTGTACAGCGTTGGTGGCTTTGCTTGGGCGACCGCATCAAAGAACAGTGACGCTGCTGAGAATCCCACAATATCTGTTTGCGAGGTCGGGGTGCTTGACCTGCTGCATTTTTCTCAGTTGTTAAAAGGGAGGCACGAACCTGCAGATAAACGTGGAACGCACAAATTGGATTCCCACCACTCCAAAATTGGATGATCTTTGTTGGGTTCCATATTAATCTCCAGGCGAGTGGCAGGGTCCTTTTTGGATACCAACTGAGGCCAGCTTGCAAACAAAAGAAAAACTTGAGCCGAGCTGATGTCATTCCCTGTATCCTTCGCTTATTCCAAGCTTCTGAACTTCATACTTTTTGGTAATGACCATTTCAGCTGCAAAGAACACAAGTTGACACCTTAGCCTAGAGTTCGGTTACCTGAAGCCGAGGATTTTTTTCGGGGAAGCAGGTGGGTTTAAACGTCCTTTACAGGAAGACGGTTCTGGACTCGAAAAGCGGGGCATGGGGGGGGTGTGGATCTTGGGCTCGTTTTGCACAGGAGAGGTTCTGGCACTCAGCCTGCTTTACCTCAGTGTGTCGATGGGCTCATGGTCTTTTTTTTTCCGTTTTAGGTACCCTTTTCGCACTTCCTGAGTTCCTGGACTTGAGTCGCTTTTGGGGGGTCTGGAACATTTTGGTGGCAATTGAAAAGGTCGGACTGTTTTGAGCCAATCCACTCAGGAAGCGAAAGTTGGTCCACTGACATAGAACCCACCATAGGCCCGGTCCCTTGTAAGGGAAACTGGTCTTCCAGCCACCAGCTGGCTGATTCGGCTCCATGTTCGTGGAGGGTGCCATTTTTTGGTGAAGGGAGGGTTCAAACATCGACTTAAGAAGCAGCAACGAGAAGGACACTGGCCGAAGAACCACGGACAGAGGTCCCCCAGTGGTGCCCTTTTACCCTTTTTTGGGGGAGGGTTCCCCTGCTAAAACAGACTACGGAAACAAGTTGGTACCCTTATTCTAAGCTCTCTACTGGAGGACCTAAGGGCAACACGGGCCCCCTTTTCGGGGTGGTTGAGGGACGCCCGGCGCCCTGCCTCGCCTCGTCGGTCTTAGGAAGATGGACCTGCAGAAGGTGAAGGACGGGTACAGCGGGGAGGTGGACGCAGAGATCATGGCGCGGATGTCCGGGAAGAACCTCCACGTCGAGTCGAGTCGGGTGGGATCAGTCGGGGGAAAAACCTATCCCCACTTCTCTTGGTGGTTCCCAGCCATCCGGTTCCGTAGCTTTTTAGACTTTGAGGGTTTAGTGGGGGTTTTGATTTAACGCACTACTTCACTGTTCTTGGTTTTTTTTTGTTTTGTTTTTAGTTGTTTGGTTCTGTTCATTTTTACTGGGGGTCTGCAAAAAACAAAGTTTTTCGCTACCATACCAAGAGTAGAGATAGTTAAACTTTAGCAGGGGATTTGTGGGCAGCCCAGTTCTGTGATACAACACAATCGCCTCTTTGTATGGGGGAGTGGTGGTGGGATCACTCGGGGTTTGCCCAACCACTGTGAGGGACCCGTTTCTTCAACTACTTCTGTGATAGTTTTGGGTTTTCCGCCTTCTTTTTGGGGAGGTTCGTGTGTGGGACAACCACAGCCCTGTTGCAAAGCGAATCCACCGGGATCTGGCATCTGTTGGTTTGAACTGGTTTTTTGCTCATGTTTAGTGGCCCCAAAAAGGTGGACCTTGTTGGTTTCCTGGTTGTTGGTCCATTTTCCAGTCATGACGCCAAAAGGCCAAAACGGGTTTCCTGCTTTTTGCCCATGTTTAGTGGCCCCCAAAGGTGATCAGCTTGTGTTTTTGCCCATGTTTAGTCCCCCAAAGGTGATCAGCTTGTTGGTTTAAATGGGTGCTTTTGGCCCATGTTTAGGCCATCACCTTGTTGGCTTCCCGGTGTTGGGTTCTCATTTTTTGTTCCCCCAGAAAGAAATCACCTTTTAAACTGAGGAACACCTTGCGCAAGCTGCGGAAGGAAGGCGCGCTCGTGGGTTGCGGCGCGGGTTGTCGCGCGAGGATTGAAAGAAATGCGCCAGGATGGCCCGCGGCTCGTGTGTGGGATACTCAGACAAGCCATGTAGGGAAGATACTATGGATAGACGAAATCCATTTCGCTCCACCTAAGAAACCATGAGAAACCACAAAGTGATGCAGGAAGCCACTAAAAACGCTCCCTACTGTGGATGGACGAAATCCTGCACCACTCTGAAACCAGGGGCAACCGTGGCTTGCTGGTATTTGCAGGGGAAACATCATTCCAGGCTTTCTTAGGCGGTGCAGGATTCTGTCCACCCACAGTATTGCTCAAAATTGGACCGGTTGGAGGGTAGAGGTGGGCAAATATTGCATACGTGCATAGGGTTTGATGGTCTGGGAGTTGCTAAAGGGTGAGTAGGCCTGGTTATTTTTTTCAGCTCATGTCTTGGGTTTGGCATGGGGGTGTATCAGGAAGACACATTGGCCAGTGTCCTAAGGAAACCGAGGCCACGCCAATTACGAGGAGCAATTCAAGGCCACCCAGCCCCTTTTTGCAGGTGCCCTCAACCCCCCCCCCCCCCCCAATGCGCCGTGTTCCCAACAAGAAGGGAAACCAGAAACAAAAAGAACAAACAACTACTAGGGGTCTTTTGGTATTTTGCCCCCCCCCCCAACACAACAAATTGGCTTCCCTTCACGTTCCCTTTTGACCAGGCCCTTGTGGGGCTTCCAACGCATTGCTTGCAATACTTAAAGGTGTCAAAAAGGTGTCAAAGTACATCATATTTTTTTTTTAAAAAATGGCAATGGTCGGCCTGAAGCAGGAAAGATGCCACGCGGGAAAGCCACCGCTTGCGCCAAGCTATCAGAGTCTGAACTGAATCATTATGGGTAGGGTACTTGAAGGCAAAAACTCGACCTGATATTGTAGGAGTAATTAACTCTCGGAAAATGTGTCCCCGTCCCAAAAAAAAGAGTTAAACAATAACAACAAAAATGACCCCCCCCCCCCAACCAAAAAAAATCAAAATTGGGGGGGGGGAAAAAACAGCTCCCCCTCCCCTCCCCCAAACAAACAAATATACTAGTGTGGTCAGTTGGCTTACCCCCTTTCCCCAAACTAGTGGTCTTTTGGTCTCTCCCCCTCGCCCCCCCCCACCCCTCCTGCAACCAAACGAAAAGACCACTTTGAACTAAACACATGCGGCTGGTGCTTATTTGGCCTCCCTTCCCCACCCCACCCCCCACCCCAACCAAACGAACAGATCCCTGGGCTTGACGTGCCTCGAACTCGAAAACTCGACTCCCACTGCGAGCGCGTCAGGCGGCTGGGGCTCCATGGCAGTGGCCTTCGAACCCCTGGAGCAAGCCCTGCAGGTTTTGGAGGAGGACCCCCCGTCGGCCGAACGCGAGCCCCCGAGCTTCCACAGCTTCACTTGACTATTTGGGTAACGGATCTTTAGACTTTAACATTTTGTTTGGTTCAAATCAAGCAAGGGGTTTTCCGAACTAACCCCCCACAAGAAGTGAAATTCACTTTTTGCAGGGGGGTCAACAGCAACCAAGTTCAGGGGTCATCAGTTTGTCATTTGTTTTTTCTTGTTTTTTCTTTCGGCGTATTGTGTCGTGTCGGACGCTGCCACTCCATGCATCTAATTAAGACCTCCACAAGTCTGGCACAAAATCCGGTCCCATCTGAATGTCATCAGATTTATGACAAACCTTGGTTGACGTTGGAAGGGGAGCAAACACTGTTTGTTTTTCTTTAGCAGTGAAGAAAATAGCTTGGATTTCAAGCACCACAAAGAATCCAAAATGCAAAATGTTGCCCAACAACAACCATGAAACAGCCATATTTGTAGTCAATTGGCAAGCAAGTTTTTCAAGTTGACAACTTGAAACACTCTGTTATGAATAAAAAACATGTCCATCGGTAAAAATGGCAAAACAACATTATTTCGTAATTTTGTGTGCATGTGTCACTATTTTATTTTATCGTATGTGTTGGTATCATTTTGTCACTATTGCGTGAGTATGTCACTGCTTTGTTCACTGCTAATTCATTGTATTTAAGATGTTTCCTTGGTTCCATTGGACCCAGAACAAACAAAACACATTTTTTTGTGCAGGGTTTTTCCTGCACTCTTTAGCACTCTCTGGCTTGTTGTGTGCTTCCGTCTTTTCGTGTTTTTTTTAGTTTTGAACAACCACATTTTGAGTGTTGTTTTGTGTTGAGAATGTTATCGGTCGGGCTATTTATGTTCAAGCCCCACTACAAACGCGGCAGCCAAGCGGTGGATTCCAACAAGCAACTTTTTTTTTGGAGGTCGAAGACAGGGAAACTGACAAAAATATGCTCCTCCTGGAGGAAACATCCCTCGGGTGAGAGAATGGGATCCCCAAGTCAAATTTCTACACCGCTCGTTTTACCCCAGAGTGGTGACCTTGCCAAAGGCAAATACCTACCCCTACCCCAAGAATCACCCGGTAACAAGCACAACAGGAACACACAACATCAAAACTAACAATACTTCATACCCTGCACCGCTACACCCCTATACCCGCACACCCACCTGGAACTGCCATCCCAAAAACCCACTCCCAAACCTGCGGAGGACTTGAAGAGCACCAAGAAGGAGAAGAAGGAGCGAGACGAGAAGCGCGAGAGAGAGCGCGAGAGGCCTAAAATGAACACCCCTAGGGGTACCTTCCAATTCTCAGTTGTCCAAAGCGAATCGACCTTTTGACCTTTTGGTTTTCCCATGTTGGTCCATTTTTGGTAGAGGTGCCAAAAGGTTACCCTTTTAGTTCTGGGTCCTTTGGGCAACTGAGAATTCCATTCTGAACCCAGGGATCCGAATCTTTTAAGGAAACCAGCAAAAACCCAGGAGAAACAGCCGGTTTTTGAAAAGAACGATGGTTGCAAAGAATGGGGAATCAACCCCTTAGAACACCAGCGACCACTCCGCCACAAATTGACATGGAACCCAAAAGTGGTTTGAGACATCACGAATCAAGTCTGCACAGACTGGGCCCGTGTCCTGAACGAATCACAGCTGCATGAAGGCACAGAGTGGTGTTTAAGCTCAACTTTGAGAGGAAATTCCTTTTGGGGGACCCCCCTCTTCGGGGTCCATGTTAGTTTGTAGCGGGGTAACATGCAGCGGAAGCGAGGGGGTCTTCTTTGGGTTGACGCCGGGTTTCACCGGAAAGGCGCCTGAAGGAAAACAGAGGTTAACGGGCCTTTAAGTAAAGGGGGAACAAAAACCAGTCAACTTGGGGGTTCCAAGCATTGAAACAAGTGGCGGAGTTTAAACAACCATCCCTTTGGTGCATGTTGCTTGGCTGTTAGGACTTTAGCTTTTTGCCAACGTATGGGTTTTCCACTAGACCACTAAAAGTTAAACTTTTGGCAGGGGAGCAGAAAGCAACCAAGCATCATTCACCAAGTTCGGTCAACCATTATTTTTATGGGGGTGGAGGACTAGGCTATAGTGTCCACTTGCTTTGGGGTCTGGATACGTCATCCTGTATTGCTCGGACATGTCGCGTGCTTCGTCCGAAGTCCGGCCGTGCTCACAAGGGTTGGCAAAGGCGGGCAGAAACGAAGCAACGACATGGCTGGTCTTTGGCTGTGACCAAGTCGTCTCTTAGAGTCTTAGACCTTTTGGAAACACATGACTGTGGGTCAAAACCAATGGTACCATTTTGGGGTACGTGCACCACCCATTTTAGTCCATTTTAGTGGAAATCGGGATGTTCACTGGGGCTAACCGGGCTTTTGACCCATGGCCAGATGGCTTTCCCACTAAACCCACAAGAGCTGATCGACCTTTAAACCCCAAGAGGGGCAGAAGGAGCAAGCTGATCGACCAACAGAAGCTTCTGTGGCTGGCTGCACGTTTTTCGCCAAGGATTTTTTTTTGGGGGGATCCCCCTACAAATGGCTTTCAGGTGTTTTTGGGTTTCCCGTTAAAACCATGTTTTCTTTCGGACTCTTGTTTGTTTTTGCTTTCCTTTGGGCTTCTCCACACAAAGGCCGGGCACCACCTCCAAAAAAAGGGGTCGGTAAAACCCACCCCTCCGTGGCCTTAGGACCTGCACCGCGACGACGTCGCGGACTGGGAGCCCATGGACCGCAACAGCCTGGCGCTGCGGCTGCACTACCTGGCGCGCGCCAAGCCCATGGAGGACGAGCGCACCATCAAGGCCCAGCACGCTGCTCGGCCGCTTTTCGGGCTTCGCTTGACTATTTGGGCAACGGATCTTTAGACTTTAACTTGTTGGTTGAAATCAAGTGGGGTTTTCCGAACTAAACCTCCAAAAAGTTATTCACTTTTTGCAGGGGGGTCAACAGTATCCAAGCGGCCGAGCCGCGGGCGTCTAACGGTTTTGGGGGCCTGAAGGCGACCGGTGCTTCTGTTTTTTGGGTTGGGTGTGCCTTAGGGGGGGGCGTTGCCCGAAAAATAGATTGCTTTCGGAAGTTCGTTTTTGGTTTCACGTCAAAACCACCAAAGGAGGGGTAAACACGGGGAAGTGCACCCTGAAAATCCTCGCGCATTGTGTTTGCGTGGCTTAGGTGGCACCTGGCACTTGGTACTACAAGGTCCCGCAGAACGCGGAGAACAAAGACTGGCTCCAGCTGCGGGCGCACGCGCGGGAGATGGTCTACGGCTTGGAGGACGATGACGCCTTCATGAACAACGTGCCGCTCAGGAGTTGGGGGAGAAGGGGGCGTTTTATGGGGAAGTGAGAATCCAAACCAAACCAACTAAATGGGGTTTGGGTCCCCCTTGCAAGCTTTGGTCCCCCTTGTTTCAAATCACCAAACTCCACCATTGGGGAAGGTGATTCAGATCCGTTTGGCTGGTTCAGTCAGTTTTTGCAAAAAGCGGCAGGGACTCACCTATGACTTTCAAGGGGTTATCATAATTTCAACCTCTGCTTGTGCGATTGTTGGGATTGTATTTTTAATCATTTCACACCAAAGGCACTCTTGTGTTGACGAGTTGATAGTGGGATTCTGATCCCACTCCGATATCAGCAGAAAGGGTCCTGCATGTTGCTTGTTTTGGTGACAGGTGCACGGGGAACTATGTGTGCAAAGTCAGCATGAAATCAACAATCGTTAAAGGCGGAATGTCCGAATGAGCCATTTTGGAGCCACAACTGGCCAACAAAGGCTTGGCGCTAAATAGCCCATGTCTATGTTAGTTTTCCCGAAGGGAAACCAATAGGGATGGATGTCAACCTCACTGTTGATTTTGAAGCAGGGGAACCAACAGGTGACGACAGGGAAAGGATTTAGCAACAAGAAACACTGGTGATGCATGAAAACAATCCATACCGTATACCCCATTTTGGGGAAACAAATGGGACAGGTGTCGTCCCTTGGCTCTTACCAAACCCCCCGAAACAGTTCAGGACAAGCCGCGGCAAGGCGGGTGGCCTGAACTTCGCGGAGAACTACCTGAGCATCTACGCGGATAAGCCTGTGGCTTGGTTTTGCAGTGACTAAGCACCCTCCAAGAACCACGAATCAGGTAACCCTTGGTTGGTGGTTTGGACTTGTGGTTTGGATTTGGAAAGCTGAATGCAAGCTGATAGGAAGGTGTTGGACGGCGATTTTCCTCGGAACCCCCCCTCCCCCCCGTCCACTTTTGTTGGGTAGATGTCCCTCAAATCCAGGGACCCGTGCCCTGGATTCAGTTTCCTAAGGCTTACTTTCTTACCAAAGAAATCCGTGGGTCTTACACGACCCGACAAGATAGAGGCGACGTGACCCACGAATCGAGTGCGAAGTAAATGTGTGTGAATCCCCAGGCAGGCCACCTAGAGATGGAGGGCAATTTGCTCCCAGATGGATATGTATAGATCTGCGCAAAATTGTATCCAGCTCACCCATGACAATGGACCTTGAGTAGGCCAGGTTCAAGGGTAATGATATCGTTTCTGACCTGCAAGGTGGTGAAGACACATCACGACAGGAGTTCCCGGACAGAAACAACCCGTTTTGTTTTGTGCAGTCATCCGTGCCACTTAGCTGACCCCAGTGTCTTCGTGGCGACCCCGGATCTCTTTTTGCTGGACCTAAAGCTGCGTAAGTTATGCCGCCAAGGGCGGTTGATGGTTACTTTTGTGGTTTCTTCACGATTGGCAAGTGCAAACAATATGTTTGTCCGAAGTTTTTTGTCTTCTGGCGTCAGATGCTCTTACTGTGCACTATATCCATTTCGCATCACCCAAGAACCCCTGGAAGTATTTGATTCCCCCCTGTACGTACAAACTAAAAAAACAACTGTGTTTATTCCCATGGTGTCATTTCCCGGTGAAATGGTCGCCAGGTTTCGCAACCACCGTGAAGTTTCGAGCTGTGCGGCTTTCGGCTATCAAACCTGGGAGATCCGGGCCTGAGGCATCTCTGGGGCGCTCCCCTAGAAATTGAAGATGGACCCGGGGGTCCTCTACAACTGGGCGGATTGTTTATTTTCCAGGTTGTCTCCGACACAAATGACCAAGCTGCAAGGGTAAGACAATGGCCATTGCGTCCGGTTGTGTCCGTTTTCAGGGGCCTCGTCAGCCTCGTGGGCTCTCTCTAAAGCGCACCCCGCTCCATGGCTGCCGAGCTCAGGAGAACATGTACGGGGATGAGCGAGACAACTACCCATGCCTCTACAGCATTTGCGATGCCCGCCATCAGTTCCAGACAGACTTCTTCCATACGACCATCCCATACTTCTTCGATGATGATGCATTGCCAGACTTAGCTGTTCTTTTAACTTGTTGCCTCTTTTCTTCCCAAGAATTAGCTCCCCTTTGTTTTTGTATTTTGGGGGTCCCTTTGTTTTCCACTAACCAGGCAAGAATGATATTTCGTTGCTGGGGTCCTAATTCCAGCCTAGTCTTGTTGTTCTTCATTGTTCCTTTCTTCCCACCAGCGGACTTTTGTGATGAGGATATGGAGCTGAACCCATATGTGGGCTTCACCCAGTGCCCGCAGTTCTTCCATGAGATGCAAGACAAGTTGGACTATTTGGACAACAACAACGCCCAGTTCTTCCGCTTGAACTGTGCCTTGCCTCCATTTGTTGTGCGGGTAGACCTGGTGCGACAGCCTCACTCGATTTCCCAAATCGGCGTTTCCGTATTTCAATGTCTGTCTATTTTAGACCTGTTTGTGGACTATCTACCACCTCTTTGGTTTTGGGTGCATTGGCGGATGACAAACACAGGGCTAACGCCCGGCGTACCACAAGTTCTCCTTGTCAGAAGGTGGACCCTTCCAGGAGTCAATCTCCTGCAAAAAGGGAAGAACCCCTGATTATGAGCCAGGCGGACCTTTGGGCATGTTATGTTAGTTCCATGTCGCTTGATCTGAAAGCATGCAGGGGGTGTCCCTGGGTCGTGCATTCTTTACGACCCTGATGTCAGTGCGTCTTGGGTTCTCTGTTGAGGATGTGCTCAGTTGTTTCGAAGCGAATCGACCTTTTGACCTTTTGGTTTTCCCATGTTGGTCCATTTTTAGTAGAGGTGCCAAAAGGTGATCACCTTCTAGTTCTGGGTCCCTCAGGGGCAACTGAGTGTGTGGTTCAATCGAATGCACGGTGCAACCGCCCATGTTCCAGGTTTTCTTTGGAGACACACATCCATATGATTCATTGGGGGTCCCTTTCTAGTGGGGGGTCATCACTTTTGGAGGGGGGATTACCCGCTGTTGACTCACTTCCCGAGTTGCAGGACTTTGTACTCTTTGAAGAATTCCGTTTTAGGGGTAAACAAGCTTAGCTCATGAAGTGAGAGGTCACAAAACCGAGCTACTACTCCGGGTTTAACCTTAAGCCTTGGTAAGCCTTAAGGCCTTGTCACGGCCTCCCTAAATGCCCCCCCCCCCCCCCACCCCGTTCAGATACAACCTGATCCTGATTGAATGCCTAAGTCCTTGGGTGCTATAGACAACCATAGCGTGTTCATTCATGCTTGTCAGAAGCTCGTCTTTGATCCCACAAAAGCGGCACCCAAAAAAAGACGCCGCTCTACTCGCCCCAGCGCCTCAGCTCAGCGCCATTTGGTCGAAGGACTTGGGATTGACTTGAGGTATGATCCGGAACTGCTGCGGCGGTGTCAGCTCCTGTGGTACAAACGGCACATGGATGATCAAGCATCCTCAGGGGGATCTCGCGCCTCGACCGAGCCAAAAGAAGCTTCCCAGGGCTAAAGCAAGACAGGTTAAGGCCACTTCTGGCCTGAAATCGATGTGGTCACTTGTAGGACACGCCGAAATGTCTTTCTTTGGTTTCCTGTTGGACACCCCCTTCAAAACACAAAGAAGCAACAGGTACCCTCATAAACAGACAGACCCACATTGAACGCCATCTTTATCATTTTGGCAAAGGACCTCTACATGTACAGTGTGAATTTTAGGAGTATCCTCTTGGGGATCCTGACTGCCGGATGGAAGAACTGTTTGGCCCTTTTGACCTGGTGGATTTCAACGGTGTCACCAGCAAAACGTGCAAAACGGCCAAGTTCCTTCCAGTTCCTTCCAGGAAAATTTCTTTTGCAGGGCTCGTCCGGCCAAGTTGCTTGGCTTCAACGTGCCCTCCCTGGAACCCAAGTGGATGCCGGATGGAAGGGCAGTGTCCCTAAGGGACCGTTTGGGGGTTCATGTGAGGAGGGTGCATGGGTTTGCTCCGCAATGTTGGATCGTTCTTTTGCCAAAAGGGGCCTGGGAGTTGCTATTTCCCGAGGGTATGTGGTTTTAAGTGGGGAGTGGCGCAGTTCAAGATGTACGCACTTGTGGGCCGACCGTTTACACCTTTTGGTTTCCCCTTGTTTGGTCCATGTCTAGTCGTGGCCCCAAAAGATGATCACCTTTTATTTCTGGGTCCCTTTTTGTGCTTTCCGGCTAGGTGTGGGAGCGGGAGAGGCGGCGCGTGCGTGACGCTGAGAGCAAGCGGAAGAGCCAGGAGCCTCACGCGCCGGAGGGACCTGTCCCATTTTTGAGTTTCCTTTTTAAAGGAGACGGGTCCCTGTTTTGAGCAGCCCCAAAAGGAGACTTGAACAGACCAAACCTGGAGGTGGGTTTGGAGGTGCAGTTCCTTGATAGGCACAGGTAAGTCCTGGTTAGTTTGCTTGAAACAATGCGGGCCCTGGTTGTAATATCTACCAGGGAATTCCACACCTTTGCTCGTAGGTCAAGCTTCAATTCCACTAGTTCGCCTTAGAATCTCGAAAAGGCTACATTGCCAGCGACACCCAACCAGATGATCAACTTTGACTTGGGGAAATCCAGTGACCTGGACACTTCCCCGGACTTGTTTTGCTCCTTTTTTTTTTTTTTTTCGCTTTCTTGGGGTCCCTTTGTATTCCACCAGCCAGGCTGGGGCCCTCTTCTTCCGGCCTGGGAAAATGGAGCCCCGAGGCGGCCCCGAGCCAAGGGTTCAGCAGCAGAGAAGTCGCCGGCAACGCAACTGGCCAGGAGTACGTGGAGAGAAGGACCTTCCACGAGAGCTGCAAAGTCGAGGCGGCTGAGCTCGGCAGTTGGGATCAAGCGATATATGTTTGAAGTTTGGGTGTCAAGTATGGGACCCAAAGAATTGGCAAGGGTTTCCTGGTATGTTGTTGGTTGTCCTTTGGTGGGTTTACAGTACCTGGTATTTCCCCCCCCCACTTTGGGTTGGAAAAACTCAACCTGCCCTAGCAGTTGGGTGTTCGATAACACAGGCTTTTCGGGGTTGTACATGGTTGTGCGCTTTGAGTTGGGTAGCCCCAAGCCGCCCGCCCATGCCCGCCCAATTCCGCTCGCTCGCTCGAGCCTTTCCGAATTTCCTCTCGCCTCCAGGGGGGTCTTTTTGCCACCTTTTGTGGTCAGTTGATCGACCCCCTCATAGTGAAGGATTCCTTTCTGAGGGGGTCGGCGGAATTTTCTCACCAAAGGCCGCAAAAAAAAAAAAAAAAAAAAAAAAACCTGCCTCCGACTCGCCAGGACACCGCGAGCAGTCTGCAGACGGTGCTGCGGGGCCGCCGGTCTCAGTTCATCAACCGGCGCCTGAGCTACGGCATGGCCAAGAACCCCGTGGCGCCTCGGATCGAATCGAGCGATCTCGAGCGATCTCGATCGCTTACGTCCGAGGAGTCCGAGGTCCTGGACTTCCCAGAGAACTCGACTGTGTACTGTACTCTATATGATCCAACATTTGACAAGTTTGGAGGATAAATGTAGTAGATATACATATGCATATTATATATATATATATATTTACATATGTATATCTATATATGTATATTGCCTACATTGATTACGTGGCATTTTAGGGGTGCACAACAAGTTTGGCTGGCTGTGGAAAGGTGCCCTGTGATACCAAGAAAATCATCTGATTCAACCCCCAACCTGTTTTTTCTGACCCCGAAGCCAAACCAAGAGTTAAGTAGGCTGTCAAGTTTTGGGAATCCCACCCCCTGTTTCACCCCTTGAAACAGCCTCAATGTTCCTTGGCTCAAGGCCCTTTGCCTACACCGGCCAGAGCGAGTCAACCTGACATCACCTCGTGGTAGGCCACATGAAGAGTCTAAAAGACCGGCAGGTCTTCCTCTGTGCAACGAACTGGGTCCATAAAAAAACGAACTGGGTCCCAAAATGCGACTTATGTCCGAGTCATGGCCCTGAATGTTGAATGCGCATGAAGAAAAACCTGCTGCATTGTGAGGGGGGGCACCCAAATTCCAAACAAATCCTCTACTCAACATGGCACACCCCTATGAATCAATCAGGGGTCACGGGTCGACAATCGGAGTACTTGTTTGCAGACTGGTTTGACCAAGGATTACTTGGCAGCCGTGCAGCGATGGGCTGAGGGAGGTGTGGTTTTGTCTCTTCAGAGCCTTAGCAGCACGATGCGCAGCAGGCGGAAGTGATTTGTGGTGTCGGCGTCAAGTTTCCCTTCGGGATTCTCTTGTACATGGGTGTGTCTTTTTTGAGCGTACCCCGTGTTTGTGGCTTCAAAGGGACACTAAAGGAAGTCCTTTAGAAGAGGACACACAGACATGAGCCATGAAGATGCCCCGATTTCGGGCAGGCCATAAGTGCATGACCAGTAACAGTAGCAGTGACAGCCTGTTGTTCACTTGCACGAAACAAACGTTTGTGTTATTCTTTTTCGCGACTCAGGACATTCTTCAGCTGCCATCGGGGTGTCTACATGGTGTGGTTCACGCTGATCTTCTTCTTCTGCTTCCTGGCGTCTCTCTTCCGACTGGTGGGCAAGACCGACACCACTTGGCAAGTGGTCAAGTGGGGCTTGGTGGAGGAGACGGGCACGCTTTCGCTGCGCTTTCGCGCAGCGAAAGCGCCGCCAACTTGAAATCCAACTTATTTGGCGTAGCTCGCTCCTTTAAAACCACACTTTTCAGCTGTGTTGAGGGAGCGCTCGGAAGACTACTTGCTATGCTTTTCGGGGGGACTAAATCGAAAGGTTCAGCTTTTGGAAACCTTCCCCTTGAAGAATGCAGTGGATGCGTGTCTCAATCCCCAACTAAGACTCCGAACAAGTTTGCTGGCGGGGCGGGCGGGTGGGCTCCACATCCATTGGGGAGTTCCTAGTTGCACACTCCCTATAATTTCTCCTGGTGGCAAATGGGAACTAATGTATACTCCTCCCACATGGCACATGGTCATCTGAAAGGTCAGCTTCTTCAACGACTCTTTCCCCTGCCAGGTGCCAGGTCGCAGCGAGGGAAATACCAAACAGGCCCTGATGTTCAGTTGGGGAATGGTCTATACCCAACTCCCGGCGTCATGTCAGCGAATCCGGAATGGGAAGTCTCGGATCAGCTTTGAGGGGTGAAGCTGAGTTTCCAGTTGGCTGAAAAGTTTGGGGTTGGATCTTTAGGGCTACTAAAGGCTGCCAAGGGCTACCAAGGGCTACCAAGACCCACCAAGGGCTATCAGAGGCTACCAGACATCCAGTTTCAGGTTGTTGCTAGTTGCCCCAGATCTGGGCAATGTGTCAAACATGGGGATTCGGACCGCAACAATGAGGGTGTTGCTGTTGGCTTCCCTTTTGGTCCGGGTAGATCGATAAGGCTTGCAACACTCACTTCCCGAGTTCCTGGACTAAAACATTTTGGGAAGACCATCCTAAAGTGGTCAATCAAAAGCTTGGTTTCTGCTTTTGGCCAATCCACTCGGTCGGAAGTGAGGACATGACTTTGGGACTCTCCAAAAATCGGGTGGCGCTCTCCAGGCCCAAAACAAGAAACCCTGGTTTTGCTACTGGTTTTCCCAACAGAAACCCCGCGCCCCAGCCCCACCCCCCCTCCCATCCCAGTGATACTGTGGATGGACGAAATCCTGCACCACTTGGAAACCATGAGACAGCATTGTTCGTTGGTATTTATAGGGGAATCATCATTCCAGGGTTTCTTAGGTGGTGCAGGATTTCGTCCATCCACAGTATTGCCAAAAATCGAAGGCCCCCGCCTCCCTCCCCTCCCCCCCCCCTCCCCCCCCCCCTCCTCTCCCCCCCCTCCCCTCCCCTCGCCCCCCCCCCCCCTCCCCCCGAAACGCGAGGAGCAGGTCTTCACCGACGCGCTGGCGCCCTTCGTCTCCTGGCTCCGCAGCCTGGCCCTGGTGGCGCGCAGCGAGTACTTCACCCAGCACCCCCAGCTGGTGCAGACCTACGTCACCATGACCCCCGGCAACCTCCCTTTGCTTAAGTTGTTTAAACCCTGGTTGGCTTTAAAAGGAGTTCATGTTTGCTGAAGTTGTTTTTCCCTTGTTTGTTTAAAAAAAAAGGAGTTCATCACTGCCGGACAGATTTTTCCATTTGCTCGGGTTGTTTTTTCCCTGGTTGGTTTAAAAAAAGGAGTTCATCACTGCCGGAAGTATTTTTCTCGAGTTTTGAAGACACGTGGGGCTCAAGAGCTGCCACTGCTATGGTGTCAGAGCAACGCGGCTCAAGGAGCGAAGGAGGTAGCCGAAGCGTTCCGAAGGCGGGCGCTGCGTTGCTTCCCTAGCTGAGGACTCTGCAGTTTATTTGCTGGGTCTTGAGCCTGGTGCTCTTCATGTTCCATGGCCAGACTTAGCGCACCATGTTCACCTTTTCTGCCTTTTCGGCGTCCCTTCATTTGTTGAGCAGAAGCTCTTTTTGAGCGCCTCTTTGGCGTTGTTGTTGGCGGACTTAGCTCACCTGTTCGCTTTGTAGCATTTCCCTTTCATCAAAAGCTCGTTGTTTTTGTTATTTTCCCATTTTTGGCCTCTTTTGGCAGGCTTTTCGTTTTTCGGCCAGCCTTTTTTGGCTCCCGCCTTCCCCGCTGGCTGAGGTTCCTGATCTTTGTTTTGACGGAGCTCCTGAAGTTCATCCAACGCGTTTGCGGCCTGAAGCTGCCCATCGTCTGGCCGGATGAGACGCTTAGAACGAATTGGACCGTTATCCAAGCGGACCGGTGGAGGGTTTTTGGCTCTGGCCCGATGTGTTGAAGCAATAGTCCCAGAGGTAAACGTTAGGGCTATTTATTTGGTCCGGTCTTTGGACTTCAACTTATTTGGGAAACAGTGGATGCTCCATTGGACCCGCGACAAGTTGAACTTGTTGCAGAGGGGTCAACCGCAACCAAGTAAATGGGTTATTTCATTTTGTTTAGTTCTTGACGCATGGTCGATCATTTTACTACCGATCGTTGGAGCCAACTCCTGGCTTCAGCTTCCTAAGCGAAGGGTCCCGGTGATTTTCTGTGAACCCCCCCCTCCTCCCTACAACTGAGCAGAGGATGCGCTGGTGGGGCCGCCTGCTGATCTCCATGGATAACTTGACCTACTTCCTGTGGTTTTGGACTGCCTTCTTCTGGAGCCCCGGCGGCATACCCAGCGCATTTGGGCATGTGACATGTTTCACTTAGCGAGGGGCTGGATTTGGCCCTGGATTTGGCCCTGGATTTGGCCCTGGATTTGCCACTCCCCCCAAAACAAGAACGAGCAAGAACACGTGGTGTCCATTTAAATACGATTGGAATCCCCCCCCAAAAAAAGAGGCAAGCAAGTGCGCCCTTTCGGGCCTGAAAAAGAAGAATAATACAAAAAAAACATCGCTCCTTCTCGCCATGCTGGGCAGGATCGGGTTCAATTACTACTCCATCTTTGCGAAGCGGACCTACCACTTCTCCTCCACCGGGATGTTCTCCTTCATGTTGGCCGTGCAGGCCAGCTGACAGCTAGTCAATCCGATACGGAAGGATGAGACTTCCTGGAAGGGGGGGGTTTCAGAGTCCCTGAAGTACTAATACACATTTGGGCAATTTGTATATATCTATATATAAACAACCACCATTATCAGACCAAAGACCACCAGCTGATTGAGCGGATCCCCGTGTATGCGACTGTGCCCTCTCACCTGGGCACCAGCCAGAGCCAGAGCTCGTGACAGCTGAATGGGTCTTCTCAGGTGCTGAGTTGGGGTATGGTCATTGCGGCCTCCTTGCGGTACACGCTGTCGACCAGCGCCTCGACTCCAAGGTGGTCGGCGGTAGCTTTTGGTGAAGGCTGCAAAAAGCAGACTGCTTTTTTGACGAATTTTGTCAGATGAACAGTTGGGGAGGAGGGAGGGAGGGGAGGGAGGGAGGGAGGGAGGGAGGGAGGGAGGGAGGGAGGGAGGGAGGGAGGGAGGGAGGGAGGGAGGGAGGGAGGGAGGGAGGGAGGGAGGGAGGGAGGGAGGGGAGGAGGGAGGGAGGGAGGGGAGGGAGGGAGGAGGGAGGGAGGGAGGGAGGGAGGGAGGGAGGGAGGGAGGGAGGGAGGGAGGGAGGGAGGGAGGGAGGGAGGGAGGGGGAGGGAGGGAGGGAGGGAGGGAGGGAGGGAGGGAGGGAGGGAGGGAGGGAGGGAGGAGGGAGGGAGGGAGGGAGGGAGGAGGGAGGGAGGGAGGGAGGAGGGAGGGAGGGAGGGAGGAGGGAGGGAGGGAGGGAGGGAGGGAGGGAGGGAGGGAGGGAGGGAGGGAGGGAGGGAGGGAGGGAGGGAGGGAGGGAGGGAGGGAGGGAGGGAGGGAGGGAGGGAGGGAGGGAGGGAGGGAGGGAGGGAGGGAGGGAGGGAGGGAGGGAGGGAGGGAGGGAGGGAGGGAGGGAGGGAGGGAGGGAGGGAGGGAGGGAGGGAGGGAGGGAGGGAGGGAGGGAGGGAGGGGAGGGAGGGAGAGGGAGGGGAGGGAGGGAGGGAGGGAGGGAGGGAGGGAGGGAGGGAGGGAGGAGGGAGGGAGGGGAGGGAGGGAGGGAGGGAGGGAGGAGGAGGGAGGGAGGGAGGGAGAGGAGGGAGGGAGGGAGGGAGGGAGGGAGGGAGGGAGACAGGGAGGTGAGGGAGGGAGGGAGGGAGGGAGGGAGGGAGGGAGGGAGGGAGGGAGGGAGGGAGGGAGGGGGAGGGAGGGAGGGAGGGAGGGAGGGAGGGGGAGGGAGGGAGGGAGGAGGAGGGAGGGAGGGAGGGAGGGAGGGAGGAGAGAGGAGGGAGGGAGGGGAGGAGGGAGGGAGGGAGGGAGGGAGGGAGGGAGGGAGGGAGGGAGGGAGGGAGGAGGGAGGGAGGGAGGGAGGGAGGGAGGGAGGGAGGGAGGGAGGGAGGGAGGGAGGGAACAACAAAAACAGTGTGTGTGTGTGTGTGTGTAGACATTTGGTTAGGCGCCTTGGGTTTCCCTTCATTCGTTCTACCCTCCATTGCTGGAAGGATCAGCCACGTGCTGCTTCTTTGGCCCAAGGGGCAAATGACTAAACCTCAACTTAAGGGCAGAGCACTGGGGAATGGTTTGCTCTGCTCGATCCAAGATACGACGCGCTTACAAGCAACCAAAGGGCACCACCCTTTTTGTGGTTACCCTGTAGTGTAGACGCCCTTGACAAGTGAAAGTGAACCAGAACCTCATATTGGATAGTCCCTCAATGGCCAAATTGTTCAGTTGCACCCCCTTTTCTCACTCTCCCCCTTCCCACCCCTCAATGCCCCCCTGTTTGAAATCAACGAGCCAATCAAACGAGGTATGGAGGCCAAGGCCTCTGTTGCCAGCGGTCTCCTCAAAGACTGTTTTTTGATATTTCTGGGTAGATTCCATGCATGAAGCAGAATCAGACATTATGAATTTTCCGTGCCCCCGGAAGTGGATTTGCCAAGTTGGGTGCAGAAGTAACGCTTGAGATTAAGGTATGGAGGCCAACGAGGTCATCAGCTTGTCCATGGACAACATCTGGCGCTCCACACAGCTCTTCTACATCTCCGCGCCGCTGCTGCTCTATTCCATCATCAAGGGCGTCCAGGAGACACGGCTTCCTTCCCCCGGGTTTGTCTCGGTTTGCTTCCTTCGGCCTCGTCCAAAACGGGTACCCCCAAAAACTTGGCATGCAGGAAACGGCGCCCGATTTGTGGGGTTCATGAATTTTGACATCAAAATTACCTTCTGAACTTGACTGCTATTGGGCAACGGATCTTTAGACTTTAACTTTTGGGTTGAAATCAAGTTGGCTTTTCCACCAACCCCCCAAAAAGTGAAACTCACTTTTTGCTGGGGGGTCGTTGCAGCAACCAAGTGAATATTGTGTGTTTGTTTTTTTCCTGAAGGGATCGATTTTGCGAGGGCTTGCAGGCGCCAGCCGCGGATGGTCTCTACAGGGAATATTCAATCTGGTCCAAACTGGGCTTTGGTTTGCCTGGGTCATGGAATCTTCGGGGGAGCTATGGGCAGAGGCTATCGATGGATAAGCCCAGGACAACCCAAGGATAAGCATAGCCCCCCTCCCCATAGCCCCCCTTGAAGGTCCATGATGGGGGGTTCATTTAGCACGACCCCGCATTGGCACACGCCAAAACGCTTTTATCAACTTACAGCCATTGTGGGCATCCATTAAACGGCTGCGGTTTGGGGTTTGCCTCCACAAAAAAAACATTTTTCAGGGTGGTTCCTAGTTCCTGAAACAGCCCACATGAGCGGTCCTTCCCATGCTTTGGTTTATCATGATTCATGGGAATCACTTCCACCCGCTATCGGCATCCAGGAGAAACGGCTGCGGGTCGCATGGGGAAGCCTCTAAGTTGGAGATGTGTTTGCCAGTACCCGATTCGGTTCCTTTTTTTGTTTGGCTTATATACTTGCCCCAAGCCAACCTTTTGACCTTTGGGTTTCCCATTTTGGACAAGTTGTTTAAAGGTACCAAAAGGCGACCACCCGTATTTCTAGGGGTGGGGTTGCAACAAAGATGACTGAATCCTCAAAGGCGGAGAATCGGTATTCTTACCAAGGCCCAAAGCGGCGAATCAACCTTTTTGCTCCCATGAGTCAAAGATCCCAAAAGGTGATTACCGGATGGATACCCGGTGCTTCCAGGCAACCAGAGGCAGCCATCCGTGGTAGATCCTAGAGGGAAGCAGCACAGGTTTCCCACCATCGTGGCTGGAAACACTGAGATATATTTCCGTGTCCCCAAGACTGGGCAACTGAGACTTGCGAGACCCTAGGGTCTTCGGCTCGCACCCCGGCAAGCCTCATGACATAGGCTGAGCAGCTGAGGAATTCTCGTCAGAACGACCAAAACCCCGAACAAGCCGGACTTCAGGGTTCCGCATGAACAAACCCAATTTCTGGACGTTCCACTTTTCCTACCTACCTGACTGGGTTTTCCAATCTACTGTTTGATAGCGAGGTAGCCAGGTAGGTGGCTAGTCTGCTGGTGAACACCATTGGCCAATCTACTCAGGATGAGAGGGACCTAAAGAGCACTTCTATTTTTGTTGCACCGCCGCAGCGCTTGAGGACTACATGCGGTACCAGATGTACGGGGAGGACATCAGCTTTTGGGTGGGCGGAGACCGCGGGGCGATGTCCACCAATTTGGTGAAGCCGCTTGCCCAGCAAGCGGTAAGCAGCAAGCAGCAGATGCCTGACCCGGTGTATCCCAGATCACTATGGTACCCACTGCGTCCAGTTACCACTAGTAGGTAATTACCTCTAGGTTTTACATGATGGTTTTCCGGGTTACCTCCAAAAGTGGTAACTGGAAGCACTGGGGTGGGTATCCATCCATGATTATATTGGTGTTTAAAGGATGGTGTCCATGCTTACATGCAGGTAAATTGAATCACCGGTAAATATAGGGGTCCAAGTACATCATCCGCATGGATTTCTGGGAACAATGCGTGTAGTCATTTAGCACCCGTTAGGCACATATCATCATGGGTGAGGTGCACAAGAAGGTGAAGCTGCAAACCAGTTCTTCAGTGGATCCAAAAACCCCTCGTGGCTGGGGTCTCCGCCAAGGCCATTTTCGGGCTGTTGGGGTCGGCTAAAATTTGGAATGGAGTCAGAACAAATATTTTCCATGCATCCCAGATACTGTGGATGGACGAAATCCTGCACCACCTGAGAAACCCTGAGATGTGGATTCCCCTGCAAATACCAACAAACAATGATTTCCCATGGTTTCAAAGTGGTGCGAAATGGATTTCGTCCATCCACCGTATGGGCCAAGGATGAATTTGATTGGGGAGGTGTTCCATTAAAACAAAAAAAACACCACTTTTGGAGGAAACACCCTTGGAGAAGTCATCCGGGGTCGGCATGACAGTTTTTTTATTCATAGTGCATCAAACAGTCGCTTTTTCGTTCATCTGTTGGTTTCCCTTTTTTGGACCAACTGTTTAGTCATGGCCCCAAAAGTGTTCACCTCCTATTTCTGGGCCAGCTGGGCCAGTGAGAAACTTAACTTTCTGGAGGTTATGGTTTCCCTGGATTCCCTCTATAGTTTTGCTTGCGCCTTCATGGCCATGTTAAGTCATGGCCATGTTAAGGTGTTCACCTTGAATTCCAGCTAAACAAAAACTCGCTCAACCCCCAAGAAAAAGTCGACGTCTTCTTCCCGTTGGTGTGAGGTACTGGACGTTGCTGCTGATCATGGGCGCCATCGGGGCCTGGATCTACTACTGCGTGGAGGGCCGGAAGCATACAGGCGGACCCTCGATCCGGGTCCGGGGCTCCACCCGAAATCTCGGCGGGGGGGTTGTGGGGGCTTGGGGGGATTTGTTCAACGGAGGGGGAGGGGTTAAGCCGGCGGCCGAACACGCCACGTTTCGGCATTCGTTTTTTTGGAAAATGAGTGCCTTCTCGCACGGTTTTTTTTGGGCGTTCCTTCATTTTCCCTGTTGACCAGCACCTTAAGTGTGCGCATTTTGCAGGGTGTCCACTCTTTTGGCCCAGCTTCCTGTGGAGGGTTGTTTGGGGGTAACCATACTTCTGGTTTGTGAATAAGAGGAATTGACCCAGATCCATCGCAGGGTTGCCACGTTTTCCCATTTGTGGCTGAAAAATATGTTGGGACCCCAAAAGCTTCCCCAAATGCGCTCCCGACAACAAACCCTGGCCGAGGGTGGGCAAACAAGACAACCTATCACCTCTCAAAGGGATTTGGTGTGCGAACGGTTGCAAGGTTCCTTGAAAAGGAGCTTGGGGTATTTCAGGTTGGATTTGTGTTTAGATCACGATCTAAGAGACATGCCCGAAAATCACCGAATTGGCACTTCTTCCTTTTTTTCCGGCTGGCTGGCTCACGAGATTTCTTGAAGTTGCTCTTTAGGCGGCCGTATTCGGCTGACCTTTGACTTTTCAAAGTTTGGTTTTCCAATGTCGGTCCACTTTTCGCCGGGGGCTGGGGCAGATGGCCGCCCAGCTTTCCATTTCGGTATATGGGTGGTTGTTTTGAGCTGAAATGTTTGATCCCCAGACAAGCAGAATCTTGCCATCACACTCCCAATCAATTTAGCCGGCAGGTGCAAAGGGATGTGGAAAAGTTGCTGGATTCACTTAGGATGTTCAGCCAGCAATTGGCTAGCCACTTGGTAACCCAAATAACAGGGTTAACTTGTGTGACTTACAAGTGGGTTGCAACCTAGGTTGCCAATAACTTACTGGCCGAACACACACTCTTTCCGACAACCATGGATGTGGACAGCTGCCCTCCGTTTTACGAGGACTGTAGTATTTCATGTCTCCGGTCAGCTTCAGTGATTGTAAGAATGTGCCCCGTAAGGCGCTAGGTACTGTAGATTCCCCAAATGAACCACCTACATCCAACCGCAAAGCAAAGTTGCCAAATGCTGTGCCTTGCTTGTGGCTGGAAGCGAGCCAAGGAGCTCGGGGTCTCCAAATTTGCTGTAGAGTAGTGAGCTAAGGAGCTACCAGGAGTTCTGGTTAGGGACATGGTAGTTACAAGGTTGCCCAATTACAAGGCGGGCGTGGATCAAAAATAGGTACCCCCAATGGAACCCTGGTAAATGGAAGCAACGCAAACAACGCAAAAAGGATTTCCCGTCCAGTGTTGGTTTAATCTTGACCCATACCCAGGTTTCCCGTTTTGAATATTTACTCAGTTGTCAAAAGCGAATCGACCTTTTGACCTTTTGGTTTTCCCATTTTGGTCCACTTTGTCCCATTTTAGTTTTCCCAAAGAGGTGCCAAAAGGTGATCACCTTTTAGGGGCAACTGAGTTTAGGTCATCTATTGGTTTAATCTTAACCCATACCCATACCCAGGTTTCCCCTATTGAATATTTACTCAGTTGTCCAAAGCCGACCTTTTGGTTTTCCCATTTTGGGTTCCCAATTTTTAGTAGAGGTGCCAAAAGGTGATCACCTTTTAGTCCTGGGTCCCTCAGGGGCAACTGAGCCTAACCTACTAAAATGGACTACAGAACAAAGGGTCCCCTTATTCTACACTCTCTGCGAGATCAACCGGCATCTTATTTTTTCTGCCAGGTGTCCTTTCGGCCGTCATCATCGTGACGCTGATCGCCCTGGTCGCTCAGCTCTACGGATCGATCGATGCGACATGAGGTGTAGCTTCTCAGTAGGGTGTCACCCCTAGCCAAAAAATCGGGGGGGAGGGGGTTAGTTCACCAGGGGTTCGCATTTGGAAACTATCTTTCTAGGGGTAACTTCCATTTCCATTTCCTGAACCCGATCCGAATCTTTCTGGAAAACCACCAAAAACCCTGGGGAAATGGCTGGTTTGTTTTTGAAAAGAACGATGGCTGAAAAAAATGGAAAAGGAATCAACCCCTCGAATTATTGCTTGTTCTCACTTGGAGTCACAGCAGCGCAAAGCTGAATCCCTTGGTTTGGGTGTTTGATCGTGTTAGCTGGTGGCCCAAGTTTTTGCTTCTACATAGGGAGCTCAGGAGCAACCAGGAGTTCTGTAAGGAGGAAGATGTACACCATGTCATGTGTTTGTTGGTCATGGGGAAAGACAAACACATATGCTTACATAATGTATGCTTTGACCATGGCTGGTCCATGGCAGAACGATTCCCAAAGCGCTGCATCTGTTGGAAGACACGTGGCATGTTTCGTTTCCTGGCCCTGTACCTCTCTTCAAAGAACCCCCTGTCAGAGCCATGTTAGTGGGAGGAACGGTAGTTGTCTGTCTTTTTGACTTCGTCCTTCTTGCCCAAGAAGTTCTCACTTTTTGTGGGTCCACTAATTTGTCCCAGTTATTTCCCCCTTACAGCCTTGGATTGGGGTTTCCACCTGCTTGTTTGTGTGTTTTTCATGGCGATTTTATGTGGATTTCCTGCACCCCGCCCAAATCCCTACCTGCTAAGGAATTCAAGCGAAGGTCTTCTCTGGTCATTTTCAGGGGCCTTGTCGCCATATGCTTTCCCGGTCCAAACGCATGTATTTAGGGTGTTTGCTATCTGCGTCCTATTTCCCATGTTTGGCCAGAGGCCTTTTTTTCCAAGTTCACATTTGCTTGTCAGGTTGCAAGAGGCGCGGCTGAGGAGCCCTGTTCAATGGTTCTTTGCTCCCATTTTCAGCGGCCCTTTCACCCTGTTTCCCAGTTTTGGTGAGGATGTCCTGCACCTACCGCCCACCTTCCACCTCCCGCCCCCCCACCTCCCCAATGAACGTAAGGGTCCTTTCTAGACACGAGCGTTTAAAAGTCATCCAAACTTTCCTTCAAGTTCGCCAAGAAACATTCCATCCCCCACCCCCCCACTCCCCACCCCCCACCCCTCACCCCCCCGCACCCCCACCCGGTGTTTTTGGTTCAGTCTGAGGACGTGCTGCACCCCTGCACCTACCTCTGGGTGGGCCGCACCAAGATGTCTCCCGAGAAAGCGGCGCAGCTCACGTGGAGCCAAGCCTTGGCTGGGCTCTGAGAGGTCCGTGCACGGGCCAACTGGCAACTCTTCCATTTGCTGAAACTCAGTTGTCCAAAGCGAATCGACCTTTTGCCCTTTTGGTTTTCCCATTTTGGTTCATTTTTAGTAGAGGTGCCAAAAGGTTAACCTTTTAGTTCTGGGTCCTTTGGGCAACTGAGGAAAGGTTTTCTCCTGCGTTTTAAAGGGAATCTATGACTACTGGACACATTTTTATTTTTTTCCAGGGGCTTCAGCAAATGGCAGAACTCCATAGCCCAGATGGACAGACTGTGGACGGTTGCGAATTCCGTTTCGCGCCGATCAGAAACCCTGGTGTCTGTTTCGATTCCCCAACGTAAATACCAACAAACCATGACGTCAACCATGGTTGCTGAACGGTGGGGCGAAATGGATTTCGTCCATGCGGAGTACGGATCTCTCTAAGGTTAAAGTACTCCTTGCTCATATCCCTTGGCTTTTTAGGGGTGATGCTATCAGTCCAAATGACGCCCGGAAGTGGGCCGCAGGCGCAGTCCATGTTCCAGGGCAACCCATTTTCGTGGGTACCTATTGTCGCTATTGTTGACCCACATCAAGACTTCCTGTACCCTTTTTTCCTTCTGCTCAAGGTGTTTGACTCATCTGGAGCTGGGGATACGTGTGCCATGGTCCAGGGGGCCCCTTTACGTGGGGTTGATAGAGGTGGTCATCAACTTCATTCTAGAATTCAACTGCAAGGGTCCTGGCCGGAAACGTGACTTTGACCCACCCAGTCTTCACAATGGCATATGCCCTGGTACAACCCCCAAAGATGTCGTGCCCTATATCCGAAACCGGTAGTGGTTGTGGGGGATTCTCTTGAGGTAAAGGTCCTTTGGACAAGCATCACCTGCGCCAACTCAAAGCGATGGGAGTATGCCGAAGGTCTGTTGAACGGAGCTTGGTGCAGTTTTTGAAGGGCTCTAGCCAGCTACCCCCAAGAAACATGTAAACGGATTCACAGAATGCAAAACATGTAAACAGATTCACACAATGCCTGGGCTTCATTTAGGGGCTTCCCTCTAGAGGTGATGTTGTTTTTTAATAGGAAATGAATCTTCACTGTTCTTGGCATGTTTTTTTTTTTAGTTTCTGTGTGGTTCTGTTCATTTTTGCTGGTCTGCAAAAAAATGTGTTTTTCGCTACCATACCATACACCCCTCCGGTTGTCTGCCGGGAACGGGGAAGCCGGCAGATCCAGCTTGGTACCTAGGGCCAGGCTTGCTGGTTGTGGGGTTTTCAACAGAACCCCCCCGAGGGTTTTTGGAGTTGGTGCCTTTCTGTTGTGAGGTTTGAAATGGAAACCAAGAGGAAAGCCACTTCTCTTGGTGGCGAAGCCAGCCATCCGGTTCCTTGTAGCTTTTTTGCCTTTTAGTTTTTAGTGGTAGTTTCCATTGCACCCACTAAGAGTTAGTCCCTTTTAGCGGGGGATCTGAAAACCGGCAGCCCAGTTCTTCATTTTCTTTTGGGGGGGGTGTCTCCTACAACAAGCCGCCCAAATGAGCCGAAGTTCCGCAGCCTAGGTGACCAGAGGCTGGTGGGAGGTTCAAATCGGAGACTCGGCGAGTCGTCCGTGTGGCTGCCGTTGGTCTTCCATTTGGCTTCCATTTGCTTAAGTATTTTTTTAGTGTTCCCTTGTTGGTTTTAACATGAGTTCATCACTACTGGAAATATTTGTATTTTTTCCTGGGGCCTCAACCAAATGGAAGATTTGTCTTCCATTTGGCTTCCTTCTCTTGATTGCTATTGGGTTGGATCTTTAGGCTTTAACTTTCGGGAAATGAAGGGTTTTCCGTTGAACTCACAAGAAGTTAAACTTTTTGCAGAGGGGTCAACACTAACCAAGATTTGGTTTCCTCGAGTTGGCAAGTTTTGATTACCAGTTTGTTGGGCAGCCAGGGTTGCACCTTGTCAACGGACTATTCCAGATAACTTCCCTAGGTCCGGCTGCAAGCGGGGAGCCCCTGCAAAAAAAAGCTTTCAGGTATCTGCTTAGACACCAGGGCTGGTTTCATTCATGGAGCTTTGTGCTCGCGTCTGCAAAATACTTGGTTGTGCTAGCCATCCCCTCGCTTTGATAAGGTTTAGCAGCTGTGTTTCCATTTAACCCACTAAACCTTCGTCACTTTTCACGAACCAGAAAAAGAAGAAAAAAAGGACAGCCCAGAACAGCAAGCGTATAGAGCCTGTTTGCCTCTGTTTTTCTTGTTTTGAGGAAGGCTGATCCTGAACCAGACGGTGACGGGGTTCATGAAATGGCTCGGCCCCGCGTGGTTCGTGATGATGCCGCTCTTGACGCTGGTGATGCCCTACATCGGGGTGAACCAAGCTCCATGGCCAAGCTAAAGAACCCAAATTCCATGGGCTGTCCTTTTGGCTTTTCAATTTGACCTGAAAAAAGGACCTTGAAGAAACACACAGAAACCCAGATGCTATATGGCTATGATTTTAATGCTTGGAGCCCCCGGAGACAGGGGTTGGTGGACATAAATCCCCACCAAAATGAGGTCCACCAAAGGGCCCCTATTTAACACAAATACCTTTGCCCTGCAAAGGTGGCTTTAAATTCTATTCATCACCTTTTGGGCCCATTCAAAGTGATGCCCTGCTTAAGTGGCAAATAAGGGGACCTGTCCTCTTCCGAAAAGACGACCAAACCCGTTTAGGAGAGAACATTGAGTGGTGTGTGTGTGTGTGTGTGATTTGTTTGTTGCAACTTCCTGCTAGGGTTTAGGGTGGGGGGGTACATGTTTAAACTTCAGCTTTTGGGTTAATTCGAGCTTGTCTTCCCTTTTGTGAGGTGTTTCCAATGCAGGGAACTCATGTCAGCAGGTGATCAGGTCATTTTGCGCTGGACCTCCATGGCCAGAACACGGGCTCCAGCAAAGGGACAGCCAATTTTGATAGCCTTGTATTTCCAGGGCCTGTTGCATTTGAGTTTGCCGCCCCGCCTTTCATTTCGCTGGGGGTACTCTCATGTTTGGATATGGCTGATATGACCTGCGGATTTTGCTCAAGGCGGACAATTCGGGGGTACTTCCACCAGTGATCCGGGTCCCCCCTGTTCAACCAGGTTCAACCAGGTGTTTATTCATGGGTTCCCGTTGCCAGTTTTGCCCCATGGAAGTTCCGACGCGACTCCCTCAGCTCCGCTGAAGAAATTCCGAGGCCTTTATGATGATCGGCTCGGCCACGAACCGATGAATTCGAAAACAATTGCACGTGTCAGAGAGCAAATTGCTAAAATTTCTGGCCAAATTATTTTCCGTGCCCACTCATAGAGGCACGTGTTATTTTGCTGGCCAGGTGCACAAGTCTCCGTCGGCCAGGGCCGGTTTTAAGGAATCCCCATGCGGGCGGTGCTTGTCCAGTAGCATTAGGACAGTTTTGGGCAAAATGCGAAATGGCTGATTCCAGCTGGCAAGTGGGCAACGAAGAAACTCCGCGCGGTTTGCGCTCAGCACGGGGCGTTGCGATGCGTTGCGCGTGGTTTGCGCCCTTGCTTTCTCAGGGAATCAGCCGTAGGAGTAGGATTTTGGGCCGACAGGCCCTTGGGTGCTCGAAAGGGAGTTTTCCATGCCTCAATGTAGGCTGTCCTTTGGCCCCAATGCCTTGCGCACGCCTTGCGGATGCAGCGGGAAGTTAAGCCGAGAGGAAAAACGAATATTTGCAGCCATGCAGTGCAAATACAAGCTTTCAGCGTCTCTGATAAGAATAAAGAACCCCCCTTTTGGGGGTGATGTTCAAGCCGAAGAAGGAAACCATTTCTTGGGCCCTTCTGCCCTTCAGACTGGATTGAAACCCTCCGGAAGGCTGCAGGGTTTCCCAGTGCTTCCGAAATCGGCGTCTTGCAGGTGACCAGAGATCCTACATGGAAAAACCTGGTAACTTCCCCAGAATTAGCTCCCCCTTTTCCTTTTTCGCTTTTTTGGGGTCCCCCTTGTTTTCCACTAACCAGGCTAAAAGAAGATCTCATTTTTTGCCGGGGTCCGAATTCCAGCCCAGGTAAGCCACCCGAGGGACGTTACCAGTAGCTGGAAGAACTGAGATTCGCCCTCATATCACTTCAAAATGGGGTTTTGTCGAGTTAAATCTGGTATTTCAAGCAGCTGGATGTGAGGGGGGCCAGCGCCCCTTCGGGAGATTTGGGCCGCCAAAGTTCCAACACGTGAATTGTTTTTTTTTCTGGTGCCTTTGGGCAGCTGGGTGTGTCTCAAAAGTAGTATTCCTTTGCAACCACCCCAGCAACGGGAGCCCTCAAAAAACGGCACACTCAGAGGTCTTTTTTATTTATTATTGTTTTTTGGGGGGGTTACCCTGGTGCCTATTGATTTGGGGTAGGACCTCAGATGGCTGCGCTTTCGATCTTTTGAGTTTTTTCGCCTACAAAGGGGAGGTAAGCCAAACCGAAGGGACCAGCCCTGAAGATGCACCAGAAGTCCCCCTCCCCCAGACTAGCATAGCTCCCAACGGACCCGGAAATGGAAGACTTGGTTCCACTTACATCGGCCAATTGGGGGAGCTTCCATGGACTTCTTGCTGGTTGACATCACCGGTTTTTGCCCGTTGGGGCAATTGGCGTAAGGAAATGCAGGGCCTCTGGCTGCTTTTTCCCACATGCCAGTGCGTGTTGGCGGGAGTTTCCGACTGGGAACCGTCCACTGCCCACTGGGATTATACCGCCACCAAAACCCTCCATCTGCTTAAGAATATGTTGTGGTTTCCCTTGTTGGGTTAAACAAAAAGCAGTAATTCATCACTACTGGACATATGTTGATTCTTTCCTGGGGCCTTAACCAAATGCAAGAAACAGCCACTAAATATATATATATATAAGAAGACATCCCCCTTTGTCCCCCTGATTCGTAGCCCTTCTGACTTGAGGCGAGCGGGGTTTCAAGCCCAATGGTTCCTCTGTCGGTTTCTTCTTGCCAGGCAGTGACCGCTGGAGAAGCACTCGATGAGAGGACTTCTGAAAATCTAGTAACTCTACGGTTCTATCGCTTTTGGCTTATACAGATAAACATGTTTCAGACGTCACATGACGCAACTTCTGCACCAGTTTGGGCGTGGCGTCGCGGGATTTAGGGTAAATGTCTTATATTATTTGAGCTATGTTTGACCTCTTGCTCCTGTTTTGTGCCAAAGCGGCATCTATCCCTCAGTTGCAGTCGCCTCCTTTGGGAGGGCAATATTGAGAGATTCCAGTGACGGATGAGAACCCACCGTTCTCAGGGTTTGACTCAGGCCCACGGGGAACTTTCCCATTTCTCATTGTTTTGGTGGTTTCCCCTCATGGTCATCCCATGTACCACGGACCTTGTGATGGCCAGGGGTCAAATCCCGTACCCCCAGTGAACATCCAATCCCCACTAAAATAGACTAGCATGGGTGGTGCACCTACCCTAAAATGGGATCCCATTGGTTTTGACCCACAGCCTGATCCACCCCCATATCAGGTTCTTCTCCCATGCCAGGCTTGGACACATGCTTCATTCCTTTCCGGAGTCCTCACTTGAAGACTTGGCCACTTGGGCAGCGCGTTTTCGCCGCCGGCGTTCCAAGAATGCCAAAGACAGTGGGAAGTCTTCCTGTAGTGCCACCCGTACCCAGATCCATTTCCCTGTATAGTAGGTAACCAAGAAAACCCAGGCTCCAAAACAGCCAAAAGGAACCTGGCGAAGGGTTGCCTACTCTATAGGGTAACTTGGATCCGGGTCCGGCGAGGAATAGGACCAGCCGGAAGGGATGGTTTCCGGCTGGGAGTCTCCGAGACTGCCGAGCAGCCGGAGGCCGCTGACCGAAAGCGCGCTAAGGCGCGCGCCTTAGAGCGCGCGCCTTAGCGGGGACATGCACCCAAGGCCGCCAGAGAGAGATACGGAGAACCACACACAGAAAAGAGACATGTCCATTTTAGGTTAGTTTGAATAGAAGTAGATGGGCCCCACTGGCTTAGATTTGGTTTCACGCCCCATGAACACCAGGCAAACCCCCCTATTTTGCGACAGGTTTTTTTGGCGGGGGTGTCGTATTGAAGCTTTGCCTCACTGGCCGACTACCAATGTCCAAACGTCAAAGAGGTTACGAACATGCATCAACCTAGAGCCCTGGGTGGCTGGACTTTGTAAATTGTTCGGTAGAGTTTGAAGCGTAAGCAAAAAGTTTGGACTGGTTCTGGCTTCCTGTAGCAAAAAGCGGCCCGATGGCCCAATGGCCGTTTTAGCATGTCTTATCAAGGCAAATGGCGATTTAAGCCAATCAACTCAAGAGAGTTTTGGGTCTAGAACGCGAACGCGTTCAATCACACCCCTTTCAAGGGGAGGCCGCAAGGACCCGGCCCAAACAAAACACCCCGTTGCGACTGGTTGGGGAGGACTCAGATAGACCGTTTTTCTTGGTTTGGTGTTTTTTTTTGGTTTGGGGGGCGGGTCCAAGCGGACCAGTTCTGTAAGGTTGGTGTTCCAATTGGTGTCTTTTGGTTTTCCTGGTCTCCTGGTTTGCGGCAACAGGAAAAGTTGTTTTTCGATCGAATCAGCTCTCTGGCCGCGGCGAGGGCTTTGCAGTGGTCGGGCTCTGGAAGTGGGGACTGGCCTCGGCTTCGGCCGAGGGGCCAGTGGAAGGTTCAAGTAAAGCGGAGGGGTCCTTTCCCAAATTGAGCCCGAGGCGGTTTTCATGGTTGTTGGGAACATTTTACATTTTTGCTTATTGTGGTTTAGTGGTTGGAATCCAACCACTTAGCTGCTAAAGTTTAATTTGTTGCTCCCCTTCCAACGTCAACCAAGACATGGAGAGTATTGGAGAGGGTTCTCAAGGGGCATTTTGATGTGAGCCACGTCCTCAAAACCACGGGTAGATGAAGCTTCGTAAGGGCGAATCCCAGCCAGAAATAGCCGCGGATATCCGCCTTCTGAATTCTTGAAGCATGGTTCTGGGTTCACCATTTTAGTACCGGGTTTTGATTGTGGCTCAATAGAGGGCTTCTTCCCCAATACAGAACAGAATCATCGAATGTCTCAATAAGAGGGATAGACAAGGTGGGCTCACACGTGGCTCATGTGGCTTGGAAGTCATCACAGCTCGTTTGTGGGATGGTGCCCACGTGTACTTTCCAGCTATTTCCAGCTCACCACTCGCCCTACCATGCTTGCCACCAGCGCCGGCATGGACACTGTGCGCAGCTCGTTCTTTTCTAATCAAAATGACCAATATGAGTGTGCGTATGGGGTTTTGCAATGTTTCTCCTTCAATGGTCTCTTTTGTTGATCAATATGAATTTGGCACCTTCAAAGGGGGCTTTTACACATCACCCACATCTCGCACTGCATTTGGGTCACCTTCGAGTGATTCTACTTCTGCTAGGTGTAGTTTTTGGGCTGTCCCCATCAATTTTATACCTCGTTCGCGGAGGTTTGGTTTGGACTTTGGAACAAAAACATGTGGGCTAAGCAAACCGTTCATTTGTCTCCATCCGCAAATAAGTTCATGGACTTTTAAACAATAATGGTGGTAAACAGACCACTGTCCCTTTCCTTGCCCACTTTCAGACTTTCAGGCAGATTTACAGTTCAGGCAATACTGATTTACAGGCGCCCACAAGGTTTGGGAAAATGACTCCGAGAGAATCCGTTTTTTTGCCACCCAAAACGACACGGGCGCCCAAGAAATCCAAGGCACCGACACGGAATCAGATATGAGGAAATGTTGCCTCCAAACTTGCCAGTTAAAGACACACGTTCAGCCCTCCAAATCCGACCAATTTCCTTTTAACGGGACCCCGGACGGCAGGTGCCATGCTAATTCGTGGGAGGGCATCCTTTTCAGAGTGCCGTGGATTTCCAAAGTTTAGCTCTCCACTCGCCGCTCGCCGCTGTTTTCTTTGCCAGTGGCATACTTAGCGCAATTTGTAACTGACGCTGAGTTGCTTCAGGGCACCCCTCTCCCCCCCGATGTTAGGCCACACGCAAATCTGTGGAGTATTGTGGAATCACGGCCCCTTGCAGCCCTCATGCAACACGCAACGCGTAGATAACTAGCGTAAGTGTCCAGCGGACTGCCTTCAATGCAAATCATTTTTCTATAACCTGTTCGAAATTGACTGCTAGGGATCTTGATCAGGTGCAAGCATTATCACGTGCAAGCATTATCACAGTGACCCAGAAGCCAACAAGGTGCCCACTCTTGGGGAAAGCCACGGGTGTCGAATC